CTGCATACCTTTAAATTTACTTTTAATGACCTGCAAACGATATTTTATAATAAAAAAATAAAAACAGTAAAAATGTACATGTCAAATATTGTTGAAATTTTGGTTAGAATTAACTGTCAATGGAACCAAAATTTCGTCACACTTTTATGGCGTATTAAACATAACTCTCTTTAACCTTGTTTATTCAATAGAAGTTTGGTTGAGAATGGATCTACCGGAAATTAGAATTGAATCTACAGGGAATTGCCGGTTATTGAAACGCACTTCAGGTATATAATCCTATTAATTTTGATAGAAAATATCTGATTTAGAAACTGAATATGGTAGCAGACATATAAAATCTATACTGAGATTATACAGTTTGCGGTTTTTGGAATTATATGAGTCAAATAAAACTAGATGTTAACTGTAAATTTAAATTTAATTTCTATTACTTTCAAGATTGTATTCATCTAAAAGCAGACCACTACAGTAACTATTATATACATAATTTAGTTACCTACCTTTTTTAAACCGCTTTTGTATGACTTTCAAACAATATGTACTAAACAAAAACTTAATGAAACAATGGTGTGTTGTTGATTGACGTCACACTAATGCGGCATATTTCCAGCCTGGCTTTTGCTCCATTTAATTCGGATTTTTTTATTTTAACTCGACCAACATCAGGGTATACACGGATATTAAAGTGGTTCATTTCAATTATTTATTTTCATACCCACATAACATCAATGTTCTATGAATATACCAAGAACGTTCTGTTTAAGTTCTTTTTAGTATATCCTTTTAGAATGTTCTTAGAACATACCTAGAATATACTTTGAAAGTATATTCTAGAAAGTATATACTGAGTACGTGCCTTAATAGTATATTCCAAAAAGTATATACTAAGCACGTGCTGAATTCTTCTAAGTATTTAAAATACACTGTAATTTTTTTAAATTTTTGAATTTAATTTTATTAACTTAAAAAATTATTTTATGTAACGTACTCGGTTTCGACGCCGTGCGCGGAACCTAAAAATGACGCGCGGAAGGCTACTTTGAGCGTTAAATTAAAATTATAAATAATGGAGGTACAGTTCCGGGAGTCAAAATTTATTTATAGCAAATTTCCTACTCTTTAAGGATCTTTTTTGAAAAATCCAAAAATATTTATAGTTTACAAACTATAGGCGAAAAACCAAAACCATGTTTTTGATGTGTTTAATTGTTTATAACTTTTGCAATTTTTTATGCACTGTAAAATTATTCTTTACACATTTATCTAGACATTATTCCAAATCGAATGAGCTATTGAACATAATTTTCGTAATAGTATGTCCCAAAAACACGCTTTTGAACTTGTTGATTAGACTATATATGAATATAAACAAATTTTACTATATTTATAGTTTTTAGGACCTATAAGTGACGTTATAATACAGGATATCCCAAATATTAATTGCCAGTGTGAATTTATTAACATAGTTAATACTAATGGTGGATTGAAACTAAAATACAGTGTTACCAGAATTACATACACACTTTCTATGAAAAAAATCCTGTAAGGCCAGATATTAACCTGGAAGAACTAGAAAAGTTAGCTAAAGGAGGACGAAAATTACAAAATGGTGATAAGTAATTAACAAAAATATATTTAAACTTTCAGTAAACATCATAAACATTTATGTAACCTTTGTTTTTGTTAGTGGAATGCCATGTACAATTTTTAATGTTCGACAAAAATATTTAAAATATTCCATTAGCTATATGCATGGGCGAAGTTATGTCATCAGATCTGGGGGGGCTAAAGCCCTAGTCATATAATGTATAATAGTTCTAGAGGTATACCTACTGAAGTTAAGTAAAAAAATTCTGGCGAATCTATGAAAATGGATAAAATATCATATATTGATTCTAAACAAAGTTTTGCAAAATTTCAATATTGTGAATTTGTAGATATCCATTTATGGTAAAAAACTAAATTTTACGACTTGCACTTGGAAAATAATGAATACTTCAGTTTTGATTTTGACATTAACACCATATAGATTGCAATTTGCTGGGGACTTTTTCGCAGATTTCATTTTTAACATAAACACTATCACATACTATAAGAAATAAACAAATTTAAAGCTAAAAAGTAAGAAAAACTCGAATTGTAATTGATACAAATTAAAATGTAAACAATGAACTCGTTGCCAAAAAAGTCCTTAAATAAATATAGAGTATGATTACATATTACTATACACAAATTTTGATTCTTAAATATAAGGTGTTATCCACTTCTTCAAGAGCTAAAATCCGACGACGTAGAGAAATTTTGCTACTTCTGGCAACACTGAACGATATCCTACTTATAGGGACCTTCTACAAATTTCCTCCAGAGGGCGTATCACTTAGCTTGAATCGCGAATAAAGATCCTTCCAATTATACCTTCTCAAGGAAGTGTAGGATTTGGAGTGGCTTCAAGTTAGGTAAATCTCCCTCTTCTATTTGATATGCTCCTAGGTATAGTGCCCTTGGATTCTCAAGTGCTACACATTTAGTTAGAATGCGAATGAAGATGTTTTCCGCCTCCTCACAAAATCTGCACTATCTTCTACTACTCTCAGTTTACTAAGGTGTAATTTTAGTTGGCAATGTCCAGTAAGGATCCCTGTTACAAGTGTTCTCACTACTAGAAAAATGTATATTATGATAACAGCTTAAAATACAATCTGGCTAATGTGGAACACCCCGAAAGCCTTGCCAGACTCGTCTAATGACCGTCAGGCGCGCTAAATTCGGCACGTTCGATTACTATTCCTCTCCTCGTTTAACTACCTGGCTTGTCAGGTCCGACCGAAATACGGTTTTATAACCGAAACAGAAACCAAATTTTGGCTCCTTTCTTAGTTTCGGTCGAAATAGAAACAAGAACTTTCTTTTAAGGCAATCTCTTATTGAAATTTGCAATATCTCATTGTAATCCTTGTTTTAGACTAATTAACTCGTATTATAAATTTTAGCTACATTTATTTATTACCTGTTTATTTATGTGATCAAAAGAAGTCATTAATAAATTTATTGACATGTTCACTTGAAACAAAGCAGAGAAGTTTGTGTGTACGTGGTCGTGCACTGTGTAGGAATGGCACCCGGCACAGTCGCCATTGCGCCGGACACAACCAATTGTGATACGAAAACTTTGATCTGTCGGCTGCAGTTTCGGCCAGTGTTCCGCCGAAACCGAAACTGTAGTCGAAACTATTATTTAAAGCCAAAGTTGGCCGAAACCGTAACCGAACCTTCGGTCGGACACTACTTGTGAGTCTGGCAGGCCTCTGTAATTGTAATTGTCAGCCAGACGTGTATTTTCACTTACGAATATTTTGAAATTTATCCTAAGTAGATGGATAATGTTCTTAAAATATGCAAGTGTGCAAAATTTACTGATAATAATTTAGGCACGTTTGGTATTGGGTAAGAAAGTTTTACACCAAAATATCCAAATTTTAAAACTTGACAGACATGCATTAAAACGACTAAAATCAAATTTTTAAAGGTAGCCATACCACAGAATGTGCTGTGACCATACCATGACCATTTGTCATATTTGAAGTCGTTTAGTTGACGCGAAAAACCTAATTATTATTTTACATAAAATAAATGTAGTGTATTTCTACCTAGTTATAATTGGTATTAAATAAAATATTAACCACTGAAATGGCAAATTTTTTATATGCATGAAAGAGCTGCTCAACTGTCAAAAAAATGTTCAGTATAATTTCGTTCAGGGTACCCACCAAAAGAAAAATTTCCGGAAATTTTTCTGGTTGTCATGAAAGTGTTTTAAAATAACAGCAGTTGATTGGCTATAAAATGGAGGTGTAAAATTATAATTTAATCTATCACGTGACAAATTTTCAAACCCGGGAAAATAAAAGCAAAAATATTATATTTTTTCCATTTAGAAGTTATTACCAGACTCATTAGCCAATTTCGTAAATCAGCCAGACTTATTATTATAAACAGTTCATGATTGTATCAATTTATATGCTCAATTTTCTGCCACACCCACTTTCCACTATCTGAGATAATCCAAACTGCTATTTTTATAAGCTTTAGGTTCTAGTTTAGTAAATGTAAAATAGTTATGACTGGGAAAATAAGTGTCAGACTCAAAAATTTTGTTTTTTGTCACTAAGAGAACAGTTTATTTTTCATATACACCGACTGGAAAAATGAATACGAAAAAAATTCACTGCCTCCTGAACTAAATGTGAAATTGCAGAATCAATCAAATGGCACGATTCTTTTTATTTTTTAATTTCTGTTCTGAAATGTTTGGGTGGATGTGCGATAAATGTTCTAATTATTTTTGGGGGGGCTAATTTGGTTTTTGGGGGGGCTTAGCCCCCCCAAGCCCCCCCTTAACTTCGCCCATGGCTATATGTACACTTAATTTGTATATGTGCCAAGTTTGTTAATTTTGTTTGTTTTGTAGGTTCAATGAAGATCCAATGGAATCAAGCAAATGAAACTCAAGCCATTGATACAATAAAATATTGATTGGTTAAGGCCAAAGATAGTATTTGTAATAAAAATAAGTATGAATTCTTTGAAATAAAGACTCATTATATACACTTATTCTTTAATGTTCAATATTAATTGAACATCCTGTATTAAGGTGTCTAGTATATGCCTAACATATGCTATATTTAAATACTTAGCATATACTTAGAACGTACTATCAAATTAAAGTAGATACCTGTTGCATACTGTACACATACTTGAAGTACATTCTTAGTATCTGCATAACACGTATAAACAACGTCACGTAGCATATGCTTAGCATATTCTGAGAATGTACCAAATGCAAATACAGTATATTCTCAGCATATGCGTATTCTTAAAGCATATACTAAGAATATGCTAAGAATGTATAATTGTTATCTGGGTATTACTTGTTTTTGCCTTACGTGAGATTTTAAATGAAATGAATTTATAATAAAATTAATTTATTATCTAAAACTTTCAGTTACATTATTAAACTTTGGTTTGTGTTGTATAATAAAAAAATATATAAGTATAATTATATTGATATTCAAACCAAATACCGTATTCATTCAAATTTAAATCGAATCTGGAGATTCCGTGATTCAAAATTTTCTTTTGCAATCTTCTTCAAATTTTCTTCTGTACTTGGTCCCATCTCCTTCACAAGATTAGAAAGATATCCATCGGTATTTTGAAATAGCTCATGCGCATGTGCATATTCCACTTCTTTTCCTTCTTCAATTACCAGAATTTTGTCGTTTTCCATAACTGTTCCAAGGCTGTTGGCGATGGTTATAACAGTACAGTTTTTAAACTTTTCTTTAATTATTTTTTGGATCAAAGTTTCAGTTCTGAAATAAATTTGAATCCATAAATTATGTTTTTTTTTTTTAATGTATACTTATAATTTACCTTGAATCAATTTTAGGATTATTTTCTATGATTAATACTTTGCTATGTCTAAGTATTGCCCTTGCCATACATAAAAGTTGTCTTTGTCCATGACTAAAATTAAATCCTCCTTCTATTATTGGCTGAGAAAGGCTCTCAATACTTGTTTTGAGACCAACCTGGAAAAAAATTACTTTCTCAGTTCAACCTTAATCTTTTTCATAATAAAAAGAGCTTATTTTCCAGACAACTTAAATACATTTCCTAGAAAAACTAGAGAAATAGGAGTAGGTACCCACTACTAAAAATATTGGAATGCTGTATTATATGTAACAAGTGTTGGATACAACTGATAGATAATAATAATAATAACAATCTCCCTATAGTACCCCCATACGAGTGAATTTTAATCCCAAAAACCGACTAAGCGTGTGTTGGGAAGGAACGGCCATTATTATTATTTGCCATGCCGCTCCATGGTAGGATTACCAGATGTACAACGTACATAGCAGACGAGGGTGGAAAGAGGCTAGATGCCCAAAGAGTCCTTAACAGACTGAGGGTCAGCAACAACACCCTTAAAATCAACCTCTGGAAGGTTCTGACCCGAACTCCAATGGAGAAAGGCCAAACTTGGGTCATCTCCGTGGACGAAGGGTGATATACCGAACTCCAGAAGCTAGACATGTCACCATACTTTGGGATGGGACGTATAAAGTTCCGTCTCAAGGAAATGAAACATGAAGAAAAGGAGAGGAACAGGGCAAAACCGATCCAAAAAGACTCCAAAACAAAGCGGGTGGTGCAAAAGGTCAAGGCCAAAAGACACCAGACGCCAGAAAACCGGCTGCCCAAAGGACGAACGTCGCCAAGGGAAAAGAAGGCAAGAAGTCCGCCAAAGACCCCTCTACCAAAAGTGGCGGAAGCCCTCTCAAAAGGCCACAAAGCCCCGAGTCGGTTTCCCCAATGGAGGTAGAGGAAGGTCAAAGGGCAGATGTCACGGCGCCTTCAACGAGCCACAGCGGGGCATAAAGGTCCTGCAGGCGAACGTCCACCATGCTAAGGCAGCATCTGCGATAATATGTAGGACGTTAGACACGGAATGCTTGGATATAGCCCTCCTGCAGGAACCTTGGCTTGTTTGTGGAAAAGTGGCGGGACTAAAACCGCAACAAAGTAAGTCATTGTACAGCAACGGAAATGAAAAACCCCGCGCTTGTATAATCTACAGCAACAGGGTTAATTGTACACTAATAGCGGTGCTCTGCACCGGTGATTTTGTTACAGCTATGCTATCAATTCAAACGGAAGAGAGAGAGAAGAGCTATGTTGTATACTCCGCCTACTTTCCGGGAGAGAAGAGAATATGCCCACCAGCAATACTAGGCAGAATCATTGCCCATTGCGAGGAGCAGAAACTCAACCTCATAATAGGGTGCGATGCGAATGTACACCATACGATCTGGGGAAGCACCAACATCAATCCAAGAAGTGAGTCAATATTACAATTCATTCTAGGTAAAGGGTTAGAAATTGCCAATAAAGGCAACAAACCAACTTTTGCCACTGCCAACCGAAAAGAAGTTCTAGATATGACCATGTGTTCGAGAGGCAGAAATGACCACATCAGGGACTGCTGGCATGTGTCTGATACAACATTGTGTTCAGATCACAGACATACCCGATTCCATATACAATGTCCAACTCGTACAGCAGACAGGTTTAGAAATCTGAGAGAGTTCTTTTGGCCGTTAAAACCGTAGAACTTAGAGTTTTTTAATGAAACGTTTAGTATCTAATTATTTCATACATAAGTTTATAATTTGGTCCAGATTTTTAAAAAAATGTCTTGAATTTTTATTATGTATGTCAGGAAATTTTATTTTTGAATATGGCAACTCTACTTCAGGGCGACTTATAACAGATTTATGGAGCCATTTGAAAATCCCGGAAAACCTCACCCACCATTATAACAAGATATCTTATCTTAGTATTTGATTAAAATATAGAATATTTACCTCTTCTAACACTTTCCACAACATTTCGTCATTTGCGTAATCTAAAGGATCTAGATTATACCTCACTGATGCGGAAAACAATATGGGATCTCTGGTTATCACTGTGATATTAGATCTCAGTTTATTCAGACTTATTGCACTTGTATCTACATCGTCAAGCATTACAAGTCCTTCTACTGAGATTAATCGAAGAAGACAGGTTACTATCGTCCATTTTTCTTCAGGATATCTACTCACCACGGCTACCTTAAATAAGAAATACTAATTAAAAAAATACTGAATTACATAAAATATTAACAGCAAGGGTTTTCAAACATTTTTGCAATTCTAAGAGCTTTGATATGTCTTGTAAGGATCAAAAAATATATTTACTTGTTTGGGATTATAATATAGTATAGTCAATTTGTCCAGAAACGTATCTAGAAGTTAGTAGTTATTGTATATAGTACGTTAACCGACGCATCAAGCAAAATAAAGATAAGACGGATAATATTTAGACGTGAGAGGCATAAAGAGAGATATGATTTAACCACGCTCTTCCGTTGGGAAGCATGGGATATTACAGTCGGCAGTCGGCTACGTATGATTCTGATTCTGTCGATTCAATAGGATTTGTGTTTATATACTGTTCTTCTGGAGTCAGAATGAGAAATTTAAGGTATTGTATACGGAGTGGCCCAAAAGTCTGGAAACGGCCAATTATCTTGTAAATTGCTAATCCTAATTGTACAAAATTTGCGGTACACCTATTTTGGGATACGGAGATTCCAGATTTGATATTTGCAATGTTGCCAGATTTGCCGTTTCTTTTATATTATTAGTCATTTTGGTTTTTCAAATTGATCACCTCATATATTCAGTCATTATTGGAATCTCCTATTCAATACGAGTTCAACCATATGTAACACTTATGATTTTATGTAGTCTGGAAGGTCTTAAATAAATAAAACAATCATAAAGAAATGTGATAGACGTATTCTACCATTGATTAGGGTACTGTCAACTCACAAATGGACCTCATTTTGAACACTTGATAAAGTAACCACTAGGTTAAAAATGTTATAATCTTTCAATTGTTACGTTTTAATGTAGTTGAAAATAGTTTGCATTAAAAATTTATTGAGACAATTAGGCGTTGCCAGACTAATTTTATTTATTTAAGACCTTTCAGACTACATAAAATCATAAGTGTTACATATGTTTGAACTCGTATTAAATAGGAGATTCCAATAATGACTGAATATACAGGGTGATGAATTTGAAAAACCAAAGTGACTAATAATTTAAGAGAAACGGTAAATCTGACAACATTGCAAATATCAAATCTGGAATCAACGTATTCCAAAATAGGTGTACCCCAAAGTTTGTACAATTAGGACTAGCAATTTACGAGATAATTTGCCGTTTCCAGACTTTTGGGCCACTCTGTTTACACATTACCTTCTCTGATGGCTTAATAACAATGTTCAAATTCTTCAAAAATGATCCATGTTGATCTGTGTCTTTAATATAAACATTTTTAAAAACAATTTTTCCGCAATAAGGCCAGTTTTTAGGAACTATTGTACAGTTGTCAACATTTTCTGTTACTAATTTGGTATACTGCAAGTTTCTATCCACAGTAGAGTTGCTGCACAACGCCTCGATACTTTCTCTTATACCCAAATGTAGTAATTCTGTCAAAATTATACCTTGTGTTATTGCTAGCCCCACAAATCCACTGTAGTAATAAGTATCTGCAAAAATATGAAATTATATGGATATATATCAAAAAATTGTCACTTTTCAAGGTAAACATTAAAAAAATATATAAAGGCTAAAATTAAAATATATAGTAAAATATTGTTGGGGTGTCAGAGATTCCAAGAAAATTTGCTGCAGCGCAGTTTATTTAAAAAAACCGACCTGTTAAAATGACATTTAGTTTTTGCCTTTCAGGAGAGTGAGTAGGTGCCAGGAGAGATATGATTTATTATTGAAAAATACAGGTTTTTAATTTTTTTTACTATAATTTTATCTTTAGACTTCAGACTTTTGCAAGAAAAATCAAATGAAATCTACATTTTTAAGTAAAAAAAATCAGAGAGATAAAAATTTTGACAGGAGAGTGAGTTTTGTAGCTTTAATAAAAAATATTTATTTTTTCCAAAGAGGTTAGAAAGGGTAGAGGTAACATAGGAAGCATTTGTCACTGCGCGAATTTTGCCAAAACCGAAAAACTGGGTGGAAGGAGTAGGGAGATGTTCGGGGCCGGACTTAAATATTTGTATTGTAGTACCTAATTTTGGTAAGTAACTAAAAGGTGATAAATTATAAGACGTTTTTTGACTTTATTTGTTAGCACGATTCATTTATGATGAGGGCAATAACACTTTATCATTACATAACTTGCTAAGGGCCGATTCCACCGTTGTGTCAAACGAAGTTTAAATTACTAAACGAAGATTAAAATGACATTGTTAATGTAAAAATGTCATTTTAAACTCCATTTAGTAATTTAAACTTTATTTTTGTTAATATAAAAATGTCATTTTAATCTTCGTTTAGTATTTTAAACTTCGATTAACAAAACGATGAAATCGACCCTAACTAAAAGTTTATAAAATTATTGTAACAAAATAGCTGTTGAAAAAAAAACTTATCGAAACAGTCAAAGTACTTTTTGCTCGAATTACACACATGATTTTTTCTACGATCACACCAAAATAAAATAAATAATTAAATTTTATTAGAAATGGGTTACCTTTTCGTTCGTTATAATATTTTAAGTTTTTTTGACATAAGCCTACTCTTCGAAAAAAAAAATGTTTTAGTACTTATATACCGGTAATTATTTATAATTTAATTATTTACGGAAAATACCGTTCAATGATTTAAAATATTAGGAAGTCAATTATTAGCTATTTATGTAACCAGTTACGAAATGCCTTATTTTGTGTAACGAGTAAATATTTACGGGACGAGCGGAGCAAGGTCCCGCAAAATGAATCAGTTACACAAAACGGCATTTCGTAACATGTTTACATACAAGATTTTTTCTAATTTTGTCTTGATTATTTATAAAATTGTGTTGAAAAATAATCATTCTTTTGTAGGTACTTTCAATCAACTATTTTAGAAAATTGTTGTATTTGATTGCCCTAAGACGTTTTTTTTTTTTTCAATAGTAATAATAAAAATAAGGGACATGTGCAGTGTTGCCGATCTAATTTTTGACATTACCCGCGAGAAATTTGAAAAAAAAACATTTTTACCCATTATCCTTAAAGGAGTACGTCAAAATTGTACCCCCAACATTTCTGGGCAGTTTTCAATAACGGTGTTCAATTATTTAAAAAATAAAAGGCAATTTACAGCTTTTCTTTTTTTGTTGTTAAACGTAATGTCATATTTTCAAATGTGAAATGTCACTATTAATTGCCTTTTTTCGATATTTGGTTTTTTCGATTTTTCGTTTTTTGGATTTTTCGATTTTTTATTTTTCGATTTCTAGATTTTTCGATTAGGTACTTGATTTTTAGATTTCTCGATTTTTCGATTTTTCGACTTAAAAACCAAAAAGAGGCATAATGTTCTACTTTATGTAACTGGTTGCATAAAGTAAATCGTTTTGGCACTTGCTGCGATTACAAAATATATTACTTTATATGTCAAAATTAGAGAAACTAACAAAATGTAAATTAAATGGATAGATCCCATATTATTATAGAGCAGTTTCATATTTTTCTTCATTTTGACCTGATAAAATAATGGGCTTTATATTATGCTCCGATTTCACATATTCAATTTTGTAATTGTAATTTGACAATATTACTGCCCATCTACGTAGTATGTTGGCTGAAAATTGGGGTATACCTTTAGCTGGGTTAAAAATAGTTACCAGAGGTAAGTGATCTGTAACTAGGATAAAGAAATGTCCATATTAATATTCATTAAATTTATTTAAGCCAAATATTATTGCAAGGTCCTCTCTTTCAATTTGGAAATATTTTTGTTCGGACTTTGATAAGATACGCGAAGCAGAAGCTATAGATTTCTCAATATTTTTTCAAAAACATGACATATCATGGCCCTTATTCCCACATTTGATGCATCTACGATTAATTTAATCGGCAACTCAGGCTGAAAATGCACAAGAACATAATTTGTTATTAATTTGTTTTTGATTAATTCCAGAGATTCCTTGCAAGAATTATCCCAAATCCATTTCACCCATAAAAAATAAAATAAAAAAAAGTCTTAAAGCAAAATCATATCCTCCTTCCTCTTAGTGACTTAAAAAAATTACTTCTCAAAAAAAAGGTCTTCAAGCCAGATCCCTCCATTTTGTGGCGATAAAACTGTTTTTTTATTATGATTATTTTCTTCGCGGAGCCCTCACAAAGGCTTTGCGGAGCCCCAGGGCTCCGCGGAGCACACTTTGAGTAACACTGTTATAGAGAAATACTAAATAAATAATTTTGAAAAAACTATTGAAACCAGTTGTGAAGTTTAAAACGAATAAATTGGCAATGCAATTGATATTTTTGTATTTGATTGTATGTTTCTCTTTCCACTTCCTGAAAACAGATTCCCCATGAAACAAGAAATAGTAAACAGTTTATAAAAAAAACCTTTATTTGCTACTTATAACATGTACCAATGACCAAGCCGATTCTGTTTATTTTCAAATCAACAAATATGGACGTCGACAGAATCTTTAAAAATTAAATATCTCACCGAAATAAATATAAGTTTCTTTTATCTCCGTCACATTTGGCACTTTTATTATAAATAAAGCTTTTTAAAACACATCTTGGTATTTTCAACGTTAATTTCCAAAATTTAAGTCACTTAAATACCAAATTAATTCTCGTTGACACATTTAATTTGGATGGTCAACGCTCTGACATGTGTTGTTCTCAACTGTGATTGGTGGGTGTGAATAATTTAGAAATGGGATTATGCGCAGTGTCTTATGTTCCATCTAAGGTTTGTATAATCTAAGATTTTTTCAAACCTAATTTAAATTCACACAAAAACGACAATCAGGTTTATTTTGTTTTATCAAAAAAATATTCTATAAGCAGGTAAGAAAAATACAAAACTAAATAAAAATTATCTTTATAACTAAAAAAATGACTGGCAAGTATGTAAAGTTAAACAATTTTACCTAGCTCAAATGATTGTGTAAAATAGGATTTTATTCAGCTTACAACGCAAGACTAATTTTTGAAAGTTAAAAATATAAAAAGTCAGTGCCAGTGGGAACAAATTCTTTAAAGAAAAAGGCCGTGCTTCTTCCCTTGCCTCTTTCTGCAGGCTCCATGAATTTCACTTTTTTCAAATGAGCAAACGTCCGGCTTGTGGGGCCAATTCCAACCTTTTCTGTTAATGGCTGCTTCCATACAGGATACTGTGACATTTATTTCAGAAATATTTATGACTTTGCCAGGATATAATTTTCTTTGGTACTCGACTTTTACCCAATCTTCAAGCTTAAGTTGTTGTTGTTGTTGTTGTTGTTGTTGTTGTTGTTGTTCTGAAAAAATATAAACAAAACTATATAGCCCATAAAGTTAAGAACATCTAATCATATTTTACCTGTTTCTTGTGTAAAAGCTGGAGCGACTGTAATGGCTGGACACTTTAAAATAGAGAAATGGCTACACGATCCTCTTGTAGGGCATATATTGAATGAAAGATCTCTATAGTCAATTTCATTATATTCAAATTTAATGGAAACTTGATGAATCTTCATGGTTCCAGAAATTGGCTTGATTTTTTCATTTATTGGTTCGTTTTCTACGGATTGTATTTCTTGAGTAGTTACTCTCAAAATTTTAATAGATTTAGTATGTTCCATTAAAATTTGTTCGAATTCTGCAACGTTCGAAATGTCTTTTCTGTAAGCAAGAGCTTTAGCAGCAGTCTGCTTCAGTAAACCACCTACGCCATCAGGTGCACCCTTTCCGTGTCCGGATTCACTAAAATTCCAAGTAGCTAAACAGATTGTAGAATATTTCTCTTTCAATTTTTGCATCAAAAAAAAGTTTTTTTTGTTTCGGAATCGACACATGGACCATCACTCAAAAAGTGTATTTTAGTGACGCTTTTACTACTCATATAAACATCAAGGATCTTGTAAAGGTGGGCCTAAATGGCTGGTGGATCGTGCTGAAGATTATCAGTAATTGCACAAAAACCGATCGGCTTTCCTTGGTGTCTATAAATGAAACCTGTGTGTAGTGTGAACTGATTTTTTGGTGCACCAAAGTGCATGGATAGCATTTCTTCTGAGTATTTCGCAGTATAGTTTTCACTGAAGTCGATGTATATGAGAATTTCTTGTTCTTGTAAATTTTCCTTTTGCAATCGTGTTGCATGAAACTGATGTTTTACACGACCCACATGCTTCATAAATGGCTCTTTAAATGATTCTAATTTCTGAACCAACTTTCCAATGGAACAAGGAATATTTTCTTTTACCGTTAGTTGTACGTCTTTAGACATGCCACGAATAACTCTGTTTTTTTTATTAACCATTGAAAATAGCTTGTTGAATTGTCATAATCAAATTCGTTATAAAGTCACCTAAAGGTTTCAGAACAATTTCTACAAGATCTTAGCAAACATGCTACATCATGTTGTTCATTGCAACAAAGATACATTAGAAGTTGCTGCGTTGTAAAAAGATTTGTAACTTTTAAAAATCTTAGTTTTTGAACTATAAACGAAGTATTTTCACATACTTTGAATAGACAGGTGTCTCGCATATTAATGTTGGGATGTCTAATCCAGAAAGGTCTTAACCTGCAAAATGTAGTATACAATATTTTTCTGCCATTGTATGTTTTGGTGTCTTTTTTCCGGGAGCTAATTTGGAGTTTTCATCCCTCTTTAAAAACCTCTTTATTTCTTTTTTTAAATGATAAATTGTTGAGTTGACATCTTTTTTATATTTTACTCTTTCGCGTGTCTCACCAAAAACTTTTTTTGTATATTTTATCATTTTGTATTTTTTTAACACCTTTCCTTTTATGTATGTTCTCCTATTAATCCGTTTATAATTAATTTTTATCTACTTGCAAATTGCCTCGGAAAATATAAGTTTTTGTTTAATAATTTTCTGATTTTTTGAAGATAATATCTTGTTGGCGCTGGTTTCCGGACTATCACTTTTATTTGAGTTGGAAGTATTTAAATCTAAAGTTTTTGACGTCTTAACCTAAAGTAACGTTGTTTATATCGATTTGCTTTACTAGACATTTTTTTAAGTTGTATTAAAGCCTTATTTGGGTTTCTATAAGCTGGAGATTTAACTTTTCGAACTTTAGATCTACCAGCAGTCCGACGGCCGTCTATTTTTTCTTCGTTGTGTTTCTTCTCTTCCCTTTCCCTTTTTGTTTTCTCATAATGCTTCTTAAACTTTTCTCTTCATAATTAACGCGACTGTCTCTGTTGTCTTTACGATTGTTTATTTATAAGCAAGATCTGTTTTTTCTTTTTGCGATTTTCGTATTTTTGTTTCCACTTTTTCTTCTCTTCTGGATCATCTTTTATCCTGTTATATATTAATCTTTCAGCTTCCCGCTTCTTTTTAGTTTTTCTTCTCTAGTTTGTTTTGTCTTAGCCATCTTTCAAAAAAATATATATTTTTACCTAAAACGTACATTTATCTACTTCTCCTGAGGACATCTATCTCTCCTGGCATTAAAGTGACTCAGGAGAATGAGAAATCCAGGATAGATAGGGGCTAGGAGAGATAGAAAATAATACTATTTGTTGTTTTTCTCTATAAAATTATAATTGGATGTAAAATCAAACAGCACAATATATTGATACCTAACCTCAACTATTAAAATGAAACTTCTTGTTGGCCTTCTATTTTCACAAATTGTTATAAACAAATACAGGAGAGATAGATATACTAAGTATACTTTTCAAAAAACTTACGTTTTTAATTTTTTTTCAAAACTCTCAACATTTTTTTAAAACAAAACACACACGGGTGTACGTGACTAGATTAGTAACATACCGGCACCTCTCGTAGTTGACTGTAAGTGGGGCTTTCAGATTGATTTATATTGATATCGACCCGGAGAGATAGGAAAAAAACTGGTGACAAAAGATAAAGCCGTGTAGAAAGTAGAAAAGATGCGTTTTGATTGTTTATATTTTTATAAAAAAACAACAATAGGGGTAGGTAGTACTAGGTGAGACGAAATTTACATTTTTGGCTTTAATTTATTTTTTTTTTCTTAACACGCATTTTGTTTTTATTTCATTTAATAGTATAATCTTCCCGCTTACGAAATGATTAACAAAAAAGGAATTAACCACAAAAATAACAAAAAAAAACTTTATTTTTCATTATTACAAATTTGTCTCATTTAGTACCTGAAAGCGTACTAAGTGAGACTAACACAAGTACCAACTGAGACATAGAAAATCATGACTAACATAAGTTTAAAAAATGAAATATTTTTTTTTAGCAAATATTAACTGAACTGAAGTTAATTCTGAATTTGTACAGTTTAGACTGCCGCTTTGTTGTGCCTGGATCAGGATCTGGAAGTACCATTGCTATATCATTTAAAGTAACAAAAGAGGTATCTGGTATATCTGGAAAGAGAAAGCAATTGGAAAATTTAAGACTCTTACGAAGAAAAGACACTTCAAACTCATCATCAGCCACTCCTGTAACTCTTGCAACATAATAAATTTGTTTTGGGAATCTAATTACAACAAATTTATTCGTTAATATATCTTCTTTGGTCACAACGGAACCTTCAGTTTCATCATCCGGTACCCAGTCTTCAGTTTCAGAAAACGTTTCATATTCAGAATGTTCGGAAGTCTCAGTGTCTGTAGAATCCCGTTTCTTTGCCTTCTTGATCTTGTGAGATGGTTTTTTAGGTCCCTTCTTCTGTAACTCACTTATATTTCTCTTAACTTTTTGAGTTAATTCTTTTGATTTTTCCTTTTCTATCAATTTATCCTTCGGGCGTTTCAGTAATTATTGTACTTTTTCCCCTTACTCTTCCTTTTCTAATTTGTTTTCTCGGTAATGCTTTCGGAAATCCTTGAATATCTTCGGGTGAAATGAAGTTAGTTTCAGCTACTTTTGCATTTTTAGGAGGCGTTTTTTCAGTTAAACTTAGGTCAGGCGGAATATTTTCATTATTTATTTTCACTTCTTCCTCTGATAACGGTAAGTCAGTCTTGTGGGATGAACCGGGTTGATTTTCCTTATTTTCAGTTTCTGGATTTTCTGGGTCACAAGAATAAGGTCGATCAGTAACAAACGAAGTTAAGAAGTCGGCGTCCTTAAACACATCTGGATCAAACGGATGAATACCAGACTTTCGGAATCCCGCCACTATATTACTTGGTGTAAAAGACTTTTGCAGTGCTTCTGCAATTCGGCCTGCTGAATCATAAATGGACATGGGTACTCCAGGGTGTTGTAGCATATACTTGTCACATGCAGTATTATAATATGCTTTAAAGGTTCCGTAAACGGAAATATCTAAAGGTTGCAATTTATTACTGCAATGAGGAGGAATGGTCAAAATTTGAACACCTGCTTCTCGGGCCCTTTCTACAACTTTAAGAGAAATGTGACTTTCATGGTTATCATATATAAGAAGGGTCACGTTTTCTTTTGTTGAATTGCTATGAGCAATAAAATGATTTAGGACATCCAAGAAAATGTTAGAATTCATCCATCCACTTGGGTTTGCAAAGCCTAAAGCACCTGTCGGACAATCTTTTAACATATGATTTTTAAAGTTTTTTCTGGGAAATATGAGTACCGGGGGTAAAAATGTTCCAGATGCCGAAATTATTCCACACATTGTGACTGTTTCTCCTCGTTCGCCACTTGTAGATTTATATACTTGTTTTACTCCTTTCTGTGCAACAATTCGTTTGGGATTTTGAACTGTTTGGGTGCCAGTTTCATCTAAATTGTAAATACGGGAGCCATCTGCCAAACTAGGGTATTTCTTTAAATTTTTTTGCAAATTATCAAAAAATATTTTAACGTTATGTGGATTAAAAGAAGTTAGACGTGACAAGCTACATGCTTCTGGTTTGCGAATGGAAATATCATTATTTCTTTTCATAAAGGATCTACGCCATTCTTCACCAGCCATTTTATTTTTTTCCCACGAGAGAGGGATATTAAAATCATTTTTGATTGCGAGCTCATAAGCAAGCTTTCTAGTATTCTCTACAGTCAATCCATAAGCCATTTTACTGCAAGTGATTAGATATTCTGCAAAAATTCTTTCTTGTTCTGGCTTAAATATTTGTCTATGCCGATAATTTGGTTCCATAACAGCATCAGGCTTATCTCGCTTCTTTTTAACATATCTGGCTAACATTTGAAATTTTATATTACAGCGGTCAGCAGCAACTCTCAGTGATAAGTTTTCATTACAAACTAAATTTACAGCGTGTTCCATGGTTTCAGCACTTGTATTGCCAATTTTTCTTGGTTTAGGTTTCCGCGGCATCTATAACAAATTTATCTCTTGAAACACCATAAATTTAGTACAACAATGAAAATTTTTACATATTGATTTATGCGCAATTATACTATGGTACTAACTGAGACTGTCTCACTTTGTACCAGATATATTGTCTCACTTAGTACATTCTAACATCACATAATGAATGCCCTCAAAACCAATATATCTATTTCAATATTAATGTCTATGATCATTGAGAAAGTGAGGTTAGTAACTAAATACTATAAATGTTACATGATATCATCAATATTTTACGAAACAAATGTTACATACCATAATATATAGATACAATAAAGTAACTAACTTACCTTAAAATTCGTTTTTAATCAAAAACACCACTAAAATCAACCAAAACAATCGAAAAATTCGTAGAGGGCTTTGCTATCTGAATGTTAACAACTCACTGACAGTTGAAATAATTTAGCGGAAAATTTAAAAAGTTATTCTTGTTGTCTCAGTTAGTACTCCGTCTCACTTAGTACTACCCTCCCCTACCTATGTTAATAAAAAAACAAAATACAATCCTTAAATTGATACTTAGTTATGCAGAATTTTTTAAAAGAATAAACTCGTGGTGGTGACATGCCAGGAGTGGTAGATTTTTGACATATTTAATTTTTTTAACAGGTTAGTTTTCATTTTTTTTTTAAATAATATTACAGAGTTTATATTAAGCTCCTTTTCTTTAAGCTCCTAAAAAATTAATTTAAAAAATGAAATTAACCGAGTAGTTGCATAAAAAGTGGCAATTGTTTGATATTCACCCATACCTATACGTTTAAAGAGTATAATCATAAAAATAATGGTGCACTTTAGTAAATTGTATTGATCTACTATGAATTGAATATTTAAACAACCTCATCATCCGATTTGCTTTCAACCGCCAGATATGCATATGCCTTTCATTGAGGGCAGACAGATTATATTATACTATGTAGAAGTTATTCGTAACGAATCAGATGCTCCAGCACACTACTACATTAGGATATACGAATCTCCCTGTAAATTCTACAGAAACATTTTTTCTTCGTTATCACTATTTGGAAACTAAAAATCGCCACAGCTTTTTTACAACCAAATATTCTGAAATACAAAAAAATGCGCAAGTGTAGAGTAAATTACTGACTTGTTTTTAAGCGGCGAAAATTTATCAGTCGGTTTGTTCCACTGTAAACTAAATTATTGCTTATTATATGTTTCATTTATCGTTATATTTACCATTACCGCAAAAAAAAAACTTTCATCAAATCCTATGAAATTCAGTTAAACGTACATCTATTCAATTCATATTAGAACAAGTATAACAATTTGAAAACAACAAAAAATAATTTTTACTTACCAATTTTTACAACAATGACAAGAAAAGCTGTGATTCCCATAAATATTATTGTTAAAAAGTCCATGTAAAAGCAAAAGTATTCACTGGTTAGCAAATTCATAGTCCAAATGCCGGTGTTTTTGTCTAGTAAATTTTCAAATGCTTCGACTATGAGCTCTTCAGCTGCAGCAGATCGGATGGTAAAGACACCGTAGAATGAGGATGTTAAAAAGGAATAGATTGGGAGTTCAGCTAAAAATAATTTTCAAATATTGAATTTTCTCGTAAAATACCTATAAATTATTCAGAAAGTATGGTTACAGACCCTACTTTCGTTACTACATGAATGAATTTAAGTTTTTTTTTATATATATTTTTCACTTTACATTATATCTAATTTTTTGCTAAAAATGAATTATGGGTTATGTGCATATGTTAACCAATGAAAAGTCCCTATTTTCCTGATCTCTGAATTAGAGCTTAGAGTCTGATATTTTGAAGTCGTATTTAACCCAGATAGCAAGCGTGAAAAAACGTCGAGAAGGGCAAGTCAAACGCCGTAAAAAGTATAAATGGATCAAGAAGGACACAAATAACAAGCTTGCACAGTGGATACCTTTTTTCTATTTTTTGATGATACAATCATTCAGATGCTTGTTCATTTTTCAAATATGTACGCAAATTTACATAAACATGAAGACGTTATTACTACAAATTAAATGAGATGTTCCATTGTAATTTTGTTATATAGTCGAAACATGAGTGTTCCTAGACGATAAATGTTATGAGAAAAGTCACCTGATTCTACCCACGACCTTATAGTAAATGCAATATCCAGAAACCGTTTTAGGTTTGTCATGCAAAATATACATTGCTGTGACAATTTAAACCTAAATATGCAAGATAGATTTTCAAAGGTTCGACCTTTGATTGATGCAATGAATAAAAAATGTATCGATTTGGCATCAGAAAAAGAACATCATAGCTTAGACGAATCGATAGTTCCATATTATTATTTTTAAATGGGAAAATTATTCGATGGTGATACAAATTCTAGATGGGAACTACTAGGTTACGTCGAGTGGTTTGACCCCAATCAGGGATCTTCTACCATTATTCCAGATAAATGTAAACGTCTTAGTTTAGCGGCTAGTGTTGTCTTATAATTTGTTGATGCCCTTGATAACAAGGCTCCCAAATTATCCAATGATATATATTTCGACAACTATATTTCACTACAATACTACTTTTCTAAGAGCTAAAATCAAGGGGATGCACAGAAACAAGTACAATAAGGTAAAATCACTTGGGTAAAGATTATTAATTTAAACACCCTTAAAAAGAAAGAACAAGGCTCTTTTGACTATTGTACTGCCGAGGGAGGGGGCCTCAGTAAAATTAAAAAAGTTATTAACCCACTTTTAATTGCACAGGCAGACAGCCTGCTCCATTACTACTGAATGCTCATTCCCGTTACTTCTTAACGACATAAAATTCCCACGTTTTTTAAAACCATTCTTTTTTCTTGCCCTAAATATGAAACATTTTCCAATTTTTAACTTACCAAATACAAATACAAAAAAGTAAACTACATCAATTATAATCATTAAACATTTTTGAACTTACCATTGGTTTCAAGTCTTCGAATATCACGTATAACCCCCACAAATGCAGATACCAAAAAGTAAACCACAACAATTATAAGCATTAAAGGTGGGATGGTTGCTGGAGAAGCAAATAATATTAATAATACTGTTCCAAGCAATGCAGTATACATTTGCCAAGTTGCAAAATTTTTGAGAAGCAGACGGTAAATTACATTCATATCTCTGGAAAATCTCTGCAAGATTCTTTCTGAAAACGATATTAACTTCATTAAAATCTGAATCCAACCCAAAAAACTTTTAAACTTATAGTAAAGGTAAAGGCTGTTCTTGGATAATTAGAACCGAACGCGCAGATGTAGCTATTTTTAAATGACGGTAGAAGTGCAAGGAACATGTTTAAGTATTTTTCAGTTCCCACAAGCACCTTACAAACCGGAATAAAAAAGAAAGAGAAAGATGTTTCTAACCCTTTGATAGGACTTAAACTAATATTTTGTAGAGACGATAAAGAAAGTTTAGCTAACCCTATAATAAAATTGCCTATATTTTTTTATGTAATGACACTTAAAAAGATGAGTTTTTCAAGAAACTCAAACCAAATTGCCAAAACAAGTGAATCTGCTGACAAAGATTGACTAATGGATTTCTTAAAAGAAATCCAAATATTTCTATAAAAAAACAAGAGCAAATATTTTCACCAACAAAAACGTTTAATGCCGTTGTACTGTAAAATATATTTGTAAGAAGTGGCGGTAAAGGAATACTACTACACTTATGTGGTCCATAAGTACATTTAGTCTATATATCTGGCCTATGTTATAACTGTGGATGGATAACTGAATCTATTTTTATAAGCTGGCTTCAGCACTTTAGAGCTTTGTGAAAACCCCGAAGAAAGACCCTACAATCTTATTCAATAATAGATAATAACAGTACCTATTGCACACTCATAGATGCATATACATTTTATAAAGAAAATGGAAATAACTTATTAGCAGATTAGATGTTGCTTATTCTGTTTTAAAAGCTGATTATAATTTGAAATGCAGCAATTACTTCATTAAAGGGTTTGAAGATAAAGGGATATTTCCTGTCAATCTTCATACTTTTACAAATGATGACTATATACCTAACTACAGAATCTCTTAATAATATATCCAAACAGATGTGGAAAACACACAATTAATACTAAATGAAAAATTAATAAAAAAAAAGAATTCTTTAACAAAGATCATAATCAGAGGGGAAATGAACCTGAGTGTATAACTGGTAGCTTTTATGCCTATTAAAATCCGTAAAAGTATAAAAAATAATAATACTGACAACCAAACAAGTAACCATTTATGGTAAAATACCCAGGCATCTTCCAGACGGAAATTCACGCCATTGAGAAGTGTATCCAGTTTAACATCGTAGACAAAAGATCATCATCATGTCCGATAGCCAAGCAGCTATCAAAGCGTTGAGATCTTACGTAATTAGCTCAAAAATGGTCTGGAGATGCCTACAAAAATTGAATGGACTAGGCGAGAAAAATACAGTTACTCTCACTTGGGTCCCGGGACATAAGGGACTCAAACACACTTTGTGGTACCTGAGCCGTTCTGCGGTATCAGCAGTAACATAATATTAGAAGAGATTAAAAAATAATTGGGCAGTAGAAGAACTGATAATTGGAACAATCTCTTGGGGCTAAGACATGCTAAGATATTTCTGGGTGAACAGATCGAAAACCTGCATCTGCCTGAGCGAGAACAGGCTACGTATTGTAACAGGAATCCTTACTGGACTTTGTCGACTAAAAGGACATCTTAGTAAACTGAGAGTGGTAGAAGATAGTGAGTGCAGATTCTGACTGAATGTGTAGCCAGAATTCAAGGGCACTATACATATCAGATAGAAGAGGGAGATTTACCTAACTTGCAGCCACTCCAAATCCTACCCTTCCTTGAGAAGAAAGGATTGGAAGGGTCGTTATATGAATAGAGACACTAGCGACAGAAAGGGACACAATAGATCTTTTAGGTCGCAGTGTATTAATACCATTCCCGTTCCCAACATAACAAAACATAAGTAACCATGTGCAAGTTACATCTGATGAACTTTTGCCATTACCAGCAAGCTCTGCATCAGTAGCTTTACAACATTATCAAAATAGTAAAAAACAATATTCGTAAATGTTAATATTAGTAGGAAACAAAATAAAAGACCAATAAACTTAAACGAAAACATGATGAAAAATACAAAAAAAGAACATAAACCAGGAAGCAAGGTTTTAAAGAAGGAGATGTATTAAAATCTTCGCATATATTAACATATACAAGGTTTTGCAAAAACAAGAAAGTACCTTCATCTGTGGAGAATTGGGGAAAAATCAGAATTGTGGATACGGTGCACAGTGTGTACAAAAAATGCACAATTTACACAAGATTTATTTCCAAAGGTAATGCCGACCTTTATCGCCATTTTTTCTTTCGTGACGGCAATGAACACTACTCAGGGTAAATTTATTTTTTAGAATATTTTTCTTGATGGTATTGAACGAAATATTTTAATATATATTAGTTCATTTGTGTGCACTTTTTCACCTCATATAATTAAACCATAAAAAATGTTTAAGGGTCCGGTATTTCCCTCCCTTACCATAAAAAAAAACAAAACTTAACGAATACTTATAAGTTCTTTAAAGGAATTAACTTTACCTGAACTGAATGCGTCAAAAAATTTCATAGGCGAAAACAACACCTTCTCAAACATCCTGTAATGTAGCACTCTTGATGCATTCATACAAAGAGTATGATACAGAAGAGTTCTGGCAACTGTAATAACAATGCAACCAATGATGAATCCTGCGTAACAACATATATAAAAATCCCTTTCGTATAATCCAAATATAATTTTTTCCGTACACTCATTTTTATCAAAGCCTTCGTCATTTGTCTTATTTTCACTATTGAGTCCGTAAAGTACATCGTTAAAAATTGTATTATAGACTATTTTTAATGCTGATGTTTTGTTTTGAGTTTCGTTGCTAGGAATTGTTACTGTTTCCGAAATGTTTTTGGGTCCTTGTTGGATCCTAAAAACATACAGATCAGAAAATGTTAAAATATTACAGAATTTCAGAAATACAAACTCAAAAAAAGCTTTAAAATAAAATTAATAAATATTTACTGTTAAGGTCCGATAAACCATAAGAATCCATAGTATATATGGTTAAAACTGCATAGAAAATACATTGATATTAAGAGTTATTAAGATTTTTTCCTGATACCTTCGCATCTTTGAAACAAATACTTGACAATAGAACAAATACACAGGATAGCCGATCGAAAGAGCATACGAAGAAAAATGAATATGGTCAGCTGCTCGTAAATATTACTAGATGTGGCCCAAGCATTTGATTTGGGTGAGTTTAATGCAGAAACTTTGGAATATGCTTTCTGGATAAATGTTGACATTCTACATTCTACAAAGAATGTTTAGAGTGAAGCAAGAGGAGGTATGCTCCGAAATAAAAGAAATAAAGTAGGTGTTCCACAGGGCATTGTGCTAGGACCGGTTCTTTGCGCATTATACACCTCCAAGATATCCCTGAACAATAATGTGTTAAAATATTGGCAGTTGGACAAAATGACGCGGATACCTCAGAAAAACTATTGGAAACCTGCAACAGAACAAATTGATAGACAAAAAAGTAGAAAATAAAAGTAAATCAAACTAAATCAGTGCAAAAGAAACAATAACAAATAAGAAATATCAAGAATGTTATTACGCATCGCAATTTGGCAAAATACCAAATATTCAAAAGAATGTCTTAACTCAAAGGAAGACAATCTTCTGTTCTAACACAAATGTTTAACTCAATTTAAATTAAAAGTGAAGTATTTATTCACAAGAAAAGTCTATTACAAACATGTTATTCAAAATACATTGATAGTGTAATGCGAGCCATTTCAGATGAATTTGGTGATGTTCTAAGCCTCTCTCTAACCTTCTCTGCTGTGTTAGGTTTTAAGACCCAACTTGTTCAATTGTCAAAAATATTTAAAGAAATAAGTCAACCACCAGTGCTACGCCTTTGGCTAGTCGTAGTGAATCATTCAAAGAATATACCAGAACGATGGTAAATGCATATTCGAGAAATTATGGGAGCGAGAATAATCTGGAGCATACACCAATTTATATATAAGTGGACTGTATTGCAGAGTTGAGGCCGAGTTACATTTTTTGAAGATAGACATTCGAACTGTTATATAAATTAGATTATAACTGTGAATTATAAATAGTGCTTGAGTATAAATAAATTAATAAGTATTCAGTTTAAATAAATTATAAATAATAAACTGTTCTACATAAATAAACGCTACATTAGTATGATAAAAAATAAGAGAAACTGCAATAAAAATAGTCCAAATTTATAATTCTATAAGATCACGAAAATATCATAGTTTTAACTAAATTTTCTCCAATAAACAAGTTTTGTATATTTACTGGTGAATATTAAAAATTTGGAACTCAAAGGAGCGGACAGATATTTAACACGTACCGTGTTAACACGTCACATCATAAAGCGACACATCATATATGCCGGACACATATGTATGTTGTGAAACGTGTGTTGAACCCTGGAATTTGTTTTTTGAAAACGTAAAGAGAGTAGTTTGTTAGTATAAGTGTCAGCTATAGGTTTATATTTCTGCCATTGTAATGGAGCACCTACCCGAAGATATGGACTGGTTGGAAGAAAAGGAGGAAATGGTATCTGCTACTGCGATATTGTTTGCACTACAGGACGAATTTAGAGAGTACTGAGTCCATCCAATAAACTAGCGTAGGCAAGAACTTGGTGCATTTCATGTTCTGTGACCCGAAATCAGCATTGACGACGAAAGGCGTAAAATGTATGTAAGGATGACGAAGAAGGAATTTGAAGTACTTTATGATTTATTAGAAACGAAATTAAAGAAGCAATACACATATTTCAGAAAGGCAACATCTCCATAGGAAATACTTTTATTGACTTTAAGGTAGGTAATAACAAAATCAAATACTCTATTATTTTAAACAACAACAAAGATTATTAAATGAAGTAAACAAACAATATCTATGTTTAATATTATAATTATTAAAAATCTAGAATAACTAGATATAATATTGTTACAAAAGTAGATAACCAGATGTGTAAAATTATAGTTGAAAAAGGTAGGAGCTTCCTTCAGTATTTTCCAAAAAAATTGGATGTGGATTGTATATTCCCATCATGGTGGAGGAAATAATGTTGTATGGATAGCGACTGTACAAATGTTTGAGATTCACTCGAATAGGAATTTGTAGACGAAGATAGTACTGGTGAAGGATGCGGTAGTGTGATAGCTGGGGTTGTGACTGGTGATATGTTTCTCAGTTCTGCTTGAAAGACCAAATTACTTATGTCCATTTTGAGATGAACTTGTTCATTTGAAGGAAGTTTCTTAACAGTTTTAGCTAAGCTTAGGAAAAACAAATTGATATCATCATCAGGTATATGTACTGCAGGTAGGGATGGCAACGATATACCTATCGATGTTTTGTAAATATCGATATATTTCACAAATATATCGATATATTTTAATCGATATTTTACTACTGATATATCGAAAAAATATCGATATAATCTTTTCGATATATCGGAAACATTATTCATAAAATGTGCGCTCGCGCGCATGCGACGTTAATTGACGTTGGCATAGCTAACACGTCAGGCGTGCACGAGGCTCTTTTATTTTTTATGTTTGGTTTGATGTATGAATTTGCATATTTTTAGTTTTATTTTCGGTGTCCAGTGTGGTTAATAAAAATATTTTTTTGCAGTAGCTACTTCTGTTCTGAGTGATTACTATTTTCGAAAGCTGGTTTGACAGCAACAGAAAGCCAAAATCGTTTGTATCTGGTAATAGATTGTCATATTTACTATTTTTGATTTCTCTTCTCAGAAAGCTTTCAAATCATGTATTATAAACTTTTTTAAGTAAATATTTAAGTTTGAGTAAGTTTGGTTCGTATATTAAAAAAAGTATTGTATGTTCTATTACTTATCTGAATAAATAAATCGCATTTTCTCTGTTAAAAAATGCATTTTTCTACATTTTATTAAAAATATATCGATATATTCAAAATATCGATATTTTTTATTCGATATATCGAATGGATCGATATATTATTTCGATATATCATATTATTCGATATATCGATATATTTTTTTATTTTGCCATCCCTAACTGCAGGTGGTGCTGGAGGTCGCATTATCTGAGACCTCATACAGTTATTACATTTCATTATATCGACTAATTGAGTCATTGACTTCTTAATTCTCTTTTTGTTTGATACTCTTTTAGAAGAATCATTTGGGTTAACACATGCGTCAGTTGATACTTCAGTAACCAAACTTCTCGTAGCCCGGTCTTCTTAACCATCTCCTTAATCTTGCCTTTTAACAAAGTATATTAACCGTTAATATACTTTGCTTTTAACGTCATCAGTCGTATTTGTGTCACTGTCCTCAATTTGACTTTCCGCGTTATGTTTAATTTGAGACTGGAAGCTGTTTTGCGATATTCTGGGTTCCATATAGGGTGACAGAAATGACATTTGGTCTTCAAATTTCTACTTTAGAATTTTTTTGTTGCCTGCCCACTAGTATTCTTTCTTATTTTTAATGCGTTGGTGTAGGTATTTCTTAGCTTTGTCCAGTCATTTTTACATTCTTGTCCTGAAAAAATAATCTTTATTATAAAACCTATATTTCATTTGTAGTAGATAACATAATTTAATTCAATTTTCTTTTTAGATTTTTAGCAACTGGAAATTCATACAAATGAATGGGATTTGAGTTTCGCATTGGGTTCAGTATAGTGGGATAAATTGTCAAAGAATGTTGTCAGGCCAAATGCGTTGAAAAGAAATTGCTAGACAGTTTGAAGAAAAGTGGCAGTTCCCACATTATATTGGTGCCTTGGACGGTAAGTATTTCCAAATACAATTTCCAAATAACGCTGGAACTGCCTACTTTAATTACAAAGGTTCTCACTCCATTGTTCTTCTTTCATTAGTCATTGCGAATTACAAATTTACATGGATAGACGTTGTCTGTAATTATGGTAGAAACAGTGATGGAGGTATTTTTGAAAGATCACTATTTGGCCAATTATCAGCAATTAACAGAATTGATTTTCCAGCGGATGAACCACTAACGCCCACAGGACCTCTTTGTCCATTTGTTATGATCGGCGATGAAGCATTTCCTCTGAAACGCTATTTGATGTGACCTTTCAGTAGAAACAACTTAGCTGGCGAAGCAAAAAAAATTTTTAATTACAGGCTTTCAAGAGCACGCCGTATTGTAGAAAATGCTTTTGGTATCCTAGCAGCGCGATTGAGGATTTCCAGAAAACCAATCGAATCTAGCACACAAGTAGCTAATAAGATGATAATGGCAGCATGTTGCCTTCATAATTTTCTGGGAATTTCATCGACCGAATCTGTAGCACCTTTTGATGTAAATTCGATGAACGCATTAAGGCCTATTGATTTCATCCGAAGAAACTATACATTGGACGCTTTTGACGTACGAAAACTATAAAAGAACTTTTTCATTCAGAGAGACATTATTCGTAGGGGCAGGCATTAATTGGTTAATAAAAAATACTAAACGCCGATTTTTTATAGTCTGAACTAGAAATTAAACTAAACTAGAATTTGAAAAACTTATACCCCATATTCAGTTAATATTTCCGAAAAAATAATTTAAACAAGGTTAAAATAATCTTTAAATTACAAAATCAATTTCTAGTTCAGTTTAATTTTTAGTTTAGTTTTAATTTAATTTTTAACACATACAAAAGTGTTGAAGAATAATATATACACGTTTAAAAATATAATAATATGAATACTTACAGGTTTTCTTTATTTTTCCACCTATGTCCTCCCAATCCTCTTGTCGTTTTCTTTGATTACGATAATCCATACTGTGAACGTTATACAAAAATTCGTACTTTCGTACTTCTTCAATTAATTACCCTTCCATTTTCTGCTTGCTATTTCGCGCCGGAATATATGAGCTGACGCGTTAACATTCTGATGAAAATCTGGCCACTGTTGATATCATTGAAAACACGAGTTGTGATGAGTTTAAGCGTGTTTTCGACATTTGATGACACATTATAGTAATATGTATGGACATATTTAAAATAACGTGATAGATATTTCTATAAAACGTGGTAACTCGTGTTAACACACGTGTTAAATATGTGTCCGTAGCTTAACTCGATGTTTGATATTCATATATGTTTTAAATGTTGAACATTTAGTTAATAATAAACGGAACCTTACTTTACATACACGTTGTTTAATCTAATCCAAACAGAAATATTAAATAATTATTATCTCAATTGAAGACACAAGTGGATGAAGGGCCTATGTAGCAAAATAATTTTTACGAGATACTTCGTGTTAAAGTTTATTGTTTGGCAGTTATTCCCTAGTATATGGGTCCTTTATCCACTGGCAACTTCTATATTTGATAAAATATTCTCACGGATGACATTTTAAACGAATTTTAGGTACATAAGCTCTTCATTTACAGAAAAATACCATTTAAAATAAAGTATTACATAGGCCATTCATCCACTTGTGTCTTCAATTTTGAATATATGTATTACTTACCACTGAGCCAACCAGAAATCAGATAAAGTAGCCAAAATTTGAGAAATAATAACTAGTAACACAACAATCTCTAGTAAATATGTTTTACCAGATAATTTAAAAAATTCTCCAGTGGTAATGAAGTATCCCCGTTTACTAGTTAAATATTCAAATGTTTGTTTATCCATATCAGAGTTATTGACCTGTAAGATAAAAAAATTTATTAAAAACTTTTTTTTTTTTTTTTAATTTTAAAAAATAAACTATTTAGAGTTCAAACGATTTCCGAGTTGAATCACAAAAAATCGAACTAAAATCCCATTATCTGCCTTTAAGAACAATTTATCCATGATTTGTTTTCTTACAAATCTTATACAAAGGCGTACTAATACGTCGCATAGCTCAAAATACATGTCACATCCGTATTTGGTGAGTGTAGTTATAGTGACCTTTCTCTCTCTAAAAATTTGAAAAGTCACATCGAATTTGGAAATTTTTAGCTTTTGACATATTTGTATATACCATCTTGTATAATTCGACGAGAAAAGTTCAATGCCGCACTGATGAACAACCCTGTATATCTGACTTTTTCAGATCATGGACTATTCTAGAACAATTATTTTCTGGCTCATTATTTAAAATATACGTACTTCTGCTTCTTCATTTATACCTAACAAACATGGGTTTGTGAAACTATTTTTATCCACAGATAATTTCTTGTTTAAATATTGAAAATCAGCCTCTGAAAAATCTTCTGTTTCTATAATTCTGCTTACGGAACCCTAAAAATAGAATAATTTTATTTTACGATTACCATTTTGATTTTAGCTTTCTTGTAATTGAAAGTTGAAAAGCATTCAACTGGATCTTAGAAATTGGTAAAATTGCTTTCTACTAAAAGAACCATCAACAAGGTTATTTTATTACTTCTGACTTCTCACAACAACAAAATATTTAAATAGTTAGTTCCTTTTTATAAAAAAATTGTATATCATAAAAATATTACGACGAATTCAGAACCTCCTCCTTTTTTGAAGAGGTTAAAAATATATGTTTCTAATTTTGACATATAAATATATCAATATATACTGTGACGCGAAAGCCGTCTCTCTTCCTTGTTTACACCTTGCCCGCGGTATGAAGTCTAGCGCTGGCCATATAGGGACAAACGCACCGCTTCAAGAAGCTACTGCATCGATCCCTTTGCGGCGTATGAGTCATACATTATTTTTAAAAGTTAATATCAAACTAGAGCAGGTTGATTTATAAAAATAGAATTTAGTTAAACCTACAACCTAGTAATAATGTTGATTTGGGGTCCTTATTTTCCATTCTAAATCAGCACAAAATAATTAAAACACAATACACGACAAAATAACCCACTCTTTGAATACTAAATAAATTTAAACACACTACAAGTCGTTGAGAATATGTAATAAATATGATTTTCTGTTTGTCAATAAAATGATGCATATGCAACTAACAATACAAGAAAGTAATATTGGTTGCCTGGATATTAGTAAATGTTTTACCAAAACACAATTTTATAAATATTCTAGTCAAAATTACAAAAAACATTGTATGCAACACGTTACGAAATGCTGTTTTATGTAACTCGTCCATATTGCGGGGCCTCGATCTACTCGTCCCGCAAATATTCACTCGTTAGATAAAATAGGGCATTTCGTAACTGGTTGCATAAATAGCTATTATGTATTTTTTTTATTTAATATTGTAACTACTCGCAACGTATATATAAGTATAAATTAGGATTCAAAATAAAAACGTTATTATCTGTTAATTAAATGAATATTAGGAGGAAGAGACAATGTCAGAATATTAGTGATGACGAATGACAAGTGACAGTGACAGTAATTATTGTTATCGAGTGCCTTTTGTTCAGTTTGTTTTCGACAAAATTTTATAGTTTTTAAACTTTTATCAATATATTCCTAAAGTAAGTAGATAACATGCATTAAGTATATGTTAATTCCATTGAGAGAATTATTTGTTTTTGTTAAAAGTCAAATATCATTGAAATACAGATTTCGTGACACTAATATAGCATATAGATCAAGAATTACTAGTAAATCAATTAGATACATTACATGTAATTGCAAAATTCGAGAATGCTAAATTGGTGGTTCCTACATTTTCAGGACTGTAGCCCCCACGGGCAAATTTGTAGTTATACAATTAGCAAAAAATAAACCATAAACGATTTGATTTTGACCGAAAGACGATGTAAAGTATTGAGAAATTAATTTTTAAATTTATGTAGCATTGGCGTTACCAAGACTAAACGATGCAAAAGTTTGCTACAGGGTAGCCGTTTTCCCTGTAAATTCTTGGTAACAAGTTTTGTTAAACTATAATTCGGTACAGTCGGTAAAATAGAACACTACTAATTAAAGCTTTTTAAAAGTGGCAGGCTTCAAAATTTACGAAATTTTAAGCAATTTTAAGTCACGTTTTCCTATTTTTATTTATTTTTATTCATTTTTATTTATTTTTATTTATTTTTATTTTTATTTATTTTTATTTATTTTTATTTATTTTTATTTATTTTTATTTATTTTTATTTATTTTTATTTATTTTTATTTATTTTTATTTATTTTTATTTATTTTTATTTATTTTTATTTATTTTTATTTATTTTTATTTATTTTTATTTATTTTTATTTATTTTTATTTATTTTTATTTATTTTTATTTATTTTTATTTATTTTTATTTATTTTTATTTATTTTTATTTATTTTTATTTATTTTTATTTATTTTTATTTATTTTTATTTATTTTTATTTATTTTTATTTATTTTTATTTATTTTTATTTATTTTTATTTATTTTTATTTATTTTTATTTATTTTTATTTATTTTTATTTATTTTTATTTATTTTTATTTATTTTTATTTATTTTTATTTATTTTTATTTATTTTTATTTATTTTTATTTATTTTTATTTATTTTTATTTATTTTTATTTATTTTTATTTATTTTTATTTATTTTTATTTATTTTTATTTATTTTTATTTATTTTTATTTATTTTTATTTATTTTTATTTATTTTTATTTATTTTTATTTATTTTTATTTATTTTTATTTATTTTTATTTATTTTTATTTATTTTTATTTATTTTTATTTATTTTTATTTATTTTTATTTATTTTTATTTATTTTTATTTATTTTTATTTATTTTTATTTATTTTTATTTATTTTTATTTATTTTTATTTATTTTTATTTATTTTTATTTATTTTTATTTATTTTTATTTATTTTTATTTATTTTTATTTATTTTTATTTATTTTTATTTATTTTTATTTATTTTTATTTATTTTTATTTATTTTTATTTATTTTTATTTATTTTTATTTATTTTTATTTATTTTTATTTATTTTTATTTATTTTTATTTATTTTTATTTATTTTTATTTATTTTTATTTATTTTTATTTATTTTTATTTATTTTTATTTATTTTTATTTATTTTTATTTATTTTTATTTATTTTTATTTATTTTTATTTATTTTTATTTATTTTTATTTATTTTTATTTATTTTTATTTATTTTTATTTATTTTTATTTATTTTTATTTCTTTTTATTTCTTTTTATTTATTTTTATTTATTTTTATTTATTTTTATTTATTTTTATTTATTTTTATTTATTTTTATTTATTTTTATTTATTTTTATTTATTTTTATTTATTTTTATTTATTTTTATTTATTTTTATTTATTTTTATTTATTTTTATTTATTTTTATTTATTTTTATTTATTTTTATTTATTTTTATTTATTTTTATTTATTTTTATTTATTTATTTTTATTTATTTTTATTTATTTTTATTTATTTTTATTTATTATTATTTATTTTTATTTATTTTTATTTATTTTTATTTATTTTTATTTATTTTTATTTATTTATTTATTTTTATTTATTTTTATTTATTTTTATTTATTTTTATTTATTTTTATTTATTTTTATTTATTTTTATTTATTTTTATTTATTTTTATTTATTTTTATTTATTTTTATTTATTTTTATTTATTTTTATTTATTTTTATTTATTTTTATTTATTTTTATTTATTTTTATTTATTTTTATTTATTTTTATTTATTTTTATTTATTTTTATTTATTTTTATTTATTTTTATTTATTTTTATTTATTTTTATTTATTTTTATTTATTTTTATTTATTTTTATTTATTTTTATTTATTTTTATTTATTTTTATTTATTTTTATTTATTTTTATTTATTTTTATTTATTTTTATTTATTTTTATTTATTTTTATTTATTTTTATTTATTTTTATTTATTTTTATTTATTTTTATTTATTTTTATTTATTTTTATTTATTTTTATTTATTTTTATTTATTTTTATTTATTTATAAATATTTTCTGTACCTCTTGTTATACTATATTTTTTTAACAAATAATCTGTTTCACGAATATACACCTCTTTTTGATTATCTTTCAAAACTCTAAAAACGCTTATAACCAATGTGCAGCTGATAAATTGATTAATAGTGTATGAAAGTAAATTGTTCTAATATTTGTAGACAAAATGTAAAACGTAATCTTAATTTTTTTCAAAATGTCTTCTTGTGTTCGTGTAAACGCACCTTAATACAGTTTACGCTGTTAAGCGCTCGAAGTGTTAAGCAACAACAAAGCTCAACTGAAATAAGAAGACACATGCAAACTGTAACAAAAAATACGATACTCTTTTGTCAGAAGATTTGAGGTGGTTCTATCACCTTATCAATTATTTCTGTATTTGATCACATATTGTATTAAAGTGACATTTAAAAGATTGCATTAGTAAAATTATTGATTTCTGTAATATTTCTTTTTTAATTATCATATGGGTGTAAAACGGCTTTATATTTCGCGATTGCAGTGCGCGAAACGCGTTTTGATAAACTCCAAAAAAGGAAATAATTTCCGCCTATTATTCAAACCTTTAATTTATTTTCTTTAAGTAGGTAATTGTAAAACAAGTTGAAATGTTTTAAATATATAATATTGAAGTAATTTAGGTAGAAAATGTATTAGACGTTTAAGAATGACAATATAAAAAAAATTACTGTGTTTTAACAATTGACAAGCATGGTTATCAATTGAAATCACTATACCTTCCCAATAACTACTGTTATTTCTCTCATGCAGCTGTTTATAAAATAATATCCATAAAAAATGCATTATATTTTATAAACACTGATATGTGAAGACAAACCGAAAATTCTGAAAATCTGTACGGTCAATGGCTGAGATAAATGATCAAATAAAGTGAAACATACGACTAGGTGCGATTTTTTTCAGAGTGGTCAGAAACGTCAAGAAATGCAACTTTGAGTCGTCACAGATCATATTATTTGGATAATTATTTGGATAATTATTTGGACTATTACTTGAACTATTACCTGCACTGTTACTTGTATTATTACTTGGACTAAAACTTGAACTAAAACTTGGACTATTACTTGGACTATGACTCATATTCACTGGCGGCTCGTGACCAAAATTTTGGGGGTTCATAGTGACAAAATATAGATATTAGTACAGATATATGAAAAAAAACTTTTGGTGTTTTAGAAAGTTTACAATATACATTTCTAAAACATTGACAGTTTTTTACCTATATCTGTACCGACATCTATATTTTGCTACTGTGAACTCCCAAAATTTTGGTCACAAGCCGCCCCTGCTCGTATTATTACTAGGGCCATTACTTGGACTATTACTTGGAATATTATATGGACTATTACTTGAACTATTATTTGGACTGTTACTTGGACTATTACTTGGACTATTATTTGGACTATTATTTGGACTAGTACTTGGACTATTTATTACTTGAACTATTAATTGGACTATTACATTTGTTTTTACTTGGGCTATTTAGAGTTGTTGTTTCTACCGAATTAGGAACGAGCATGGACATGCATATAGTTTGACCTGCCTAGATTCGCACGTTACAGAAAAGTATGTTAGGAAGTGATCTTCAGTAGGTAATAAAAAAAACAAGAATAAACAAAATTAATATGTACTTACATTTTCTAAAACGACGATTGTATTGGCCTCTTTTGCATAATAAAGCTTATTTGAAACAAAAACTCTTGTCTTGTTTTTCAAATATTTCAAAATACATTCTGAAAATATGAATTTCTCAGACTGGTGGTCAATGGTTCCGAAAGCATCGTCGAAAATATAAATATCTGCATCTTTATAAATAGCTCTTGCTAGATTAACTTTTTCTTTAATTCCATTCTCGTCGCATAATTTGTCGTTAGTTAATGTCTGATCGCCATATGGTAATTTTTTGAGATCATTTTCCAAGAAACATATTTTTATGATTTCTCTGTATCTGCAAATTACTCGAATTCTATTGTCTATTAAACGTTTTCGTTTTGTATCTTTGGCGTCGATAAGTTATTGGGAATGGCGTTAGGGTTGTGACGCCAATGGTAGAGGGATTTTAAAAAAATCAATTTTTAGAATGGTCATTAGAATTTAGGATAGTCAAATATGTTTAAAAATGTCAGTAGAAATTTAATTTGGGAAAGATGAAAATAGTTATAGAAGTTATAAAGTTAATTAAAAGAATAGGAAGAAAGTTTTATTTAAATAAAAAAAAGGAGAAGACATAGTTGGAAGGAGAGTTAAGTAGAAAGAGTAGTAAAACTAGTAAGAGTAAGAGGAGAAAACAGAGGAAAACAGCAAGATGAGACGAGGTAGAGGAACAGGGGCTTCAGACAATCAGGAATTAAAACAGAAGGCAGAAGGACCGGAAGAAATAAAGAAGCGAAGCAGACTATTTTTTTAATTTGATTTTTAGAAATTGTTGTAGGAGGTCAAAGGAGCCAAAATTCTAAGTGCTAGGATATTGGAATAGTTTAACCTTTTTGGGGTGGAATCATTGCAATATATTCAGCTTAATTAAAGCTATACAGTTATATTTAAAAGTTTTACACTTTTAGTAAACATTGTTTTATTGAAATGTTTCTTTGAGTAATTATACAGTTTCGCAGTAAAAATCTTTTAGATAAAAGTTACATCCTTTAGTCCCTGTTCACTATGCAGTAAAGACCCTTTCAAACTCAATCGATTAGCAATATCTGAAATTGATTAGGTTGAAGATCACTCTTTAAGACCGTTAGAAGAGAACATTAAAACATAAACATCTTATACCTAGTTTCATAGATTTTTCTCAACAAAATTCAAAATGCCTAATCCTACAGATAATGAAGTAGAGTCTAACAACAAATATTTTAACTAATAAAAGTTCTGATGCTAATATTACAGGGTATCTCATTAAGAATTGAAAACGGAACAACTGAAGATTCTCTAATTAAAAATAAGATTATATTAAACGAAACATGCTTCAATAAAATATTACTAGTTCCCGAAATACAGTGGGGTAAAGTTGAAAATTTCAAAATCTTTAATGGCAATAATTTTTTTATTTCTCATTATAATTTGAAAAACATTTTTAGTGTCATAAAATACACTTATCAATAAGTTTTTTTTATAAATTCCCAACAAGAACGCGTAATTTATTTAAATAACATAAAAAAATGACAAAGTATAGTAGAAATAAGTTTGAACAGTGGCGTAAAATTTAAGGGGACGAAAGTCTTACTTATCCATGCCGTACGCCACTGGTAAAGTTTATTTAACTGATTGTTTTGCTGATAGTAGTATCTTATGACACAAAAAACGTTTACCGAATTAAGTAAAATTATACTAAAAATATAAAAATTATAAAAGGTTCAGGAGGAATGAAAGACGTATTTAGTATTTAAAGTTTCTTGAAAAAAAATATAGCCATTAATAATTTTTGAAATTTTAACTTTATTTATTTCTATTATTATTATTATTATTATTATTATTATTATTATTATTATTATTATTATTATTATTATTATTATTATTATTATTATTATTATTATTATTATTATTATTATTATTATTATTATTATTATTATTATTATTATTATTAGTATTATTTTGGAGACCAGTAATATTTTATCAAAGCATGTTTCGTTTAATCGTCTTAAAATTATTAATCAGGGAAACCTTCAAAACTCCTAAAGACAAAACTAAACTGCAATAAAGGTGAAGTACCTAGGTCTCACCTTTGATGGCAAGTTAACATGGAACTCACACTATGAAGCAAAGTCAAAAGAGCATACATTGCTTATGAACAATGCCGCCGAACCGTGAGGCGCACCTAAGGTTTCTCTCCCAGAGGCGTCGCATGGACATGCTAACATAGGGTGCCGTTGTCTGGGTACCTAAAATTGACAGCTATTCGCAAACTAGAACAAATTCAAAGAATAGTATGTCTCAACATAACAGGAGCCATGAAAACCACACAGATCAGAGCCATGGAGGTCATTATTAATGGCGGACATACACGATACGGAAAGGTCTGCCTGCACAGGTGTTAGTCAACTCTTTTTAGTGACACCGTACCACGTACGGTGAACCTGTGCGAGTGAGTGTATTTTCCGGTCGACTGCGCAGATCACACTAGTTGTTTTCTAGTCTCAGTCTAAGGTGGACGCGTTCACCTCGTATGTACGCATGATAAAAAATGGCACCATCAGTTTCAACTAAGAAAGTACTTGAAGATTTTATAGAAATATATAGAACTCAGTGATTGTGGGGAAATAATTGTTGAAAATATAAGGTCGTCATGACTTTTGCCAGTTGCAAGAAATCTCAAAGTAACTCATTATCTTTTGTACGGAGAAATACCGTTCCTCATTTCTGTATCTTTTTTTCTATCATAGGAGTAACCGTTGCAAGTAATTTAGGTATGTTTTCTCGTCCATTCGGAGATAGTTCTTATAATCTGTAGTTTCGAATTTCAACTCCTTAATGACTTTCCATTTTAATAAGCAATTTTTACACCACTTAGTTCGCTTCTTTTTGACTATTTTTGTATTATTTTCCAAATTAACACAGGGCCTACCAATGCCAGTGCATCATCGTCTTCAATCGACGCCATAGCGAAACGAACTGAAGAGCTCTCATGTCTCAGGCATACCGGACACGCTACGGTATGAAGCCGACTTGCGCAGACAAACCTGCACAGGTAGACTTCTCCGGTATACCGTTGGGTGTATGTTCGCCATTAGTCTCACTCCCTTTGATGTTTACATCAAGGAAGTTGTTCTGTTGATAATGACACGCCTGCGTACGGTTTGAATAGAATCTGGTGAGGCAAGACGTCGCTTTTGGCAGGAGGCGATAGATACGCTCCCACTTCTTCAAACGAACATGGACTCCATCTCACCGAGATATATCTTCCATAAGCCATATAAAGTTATAACAGAACAAATAGAAAAGCCGAAAGTGGATTCATATTTTCACCGACGCCGACGGTTCTAAAACAAAACAAGGCTCAGGATGTGGAATATACTCCAAATCCTTAAAACTAAACATAAAATCGGCTGTGAGCAATAGTGCCAGTGTAGTTCACACAGCTCACGGGGATTATCATAGCAGCAAAAGAAATTACCAGAAACTATCACTAGAAGGAACATGATCATCTACAGAGAGCAGACAAGCAATTCTCACCCTGAACAGACTACGAATTTGCTCAGGGTTAGTATTAGAAAGTCATGAAACTGTCAAAAAACAACGTGGTCACCTTAAGATGGATCAAAAGTCACGTTATATCGAAAGGTAACCGTCTTGATAATTCACTGCCAGTATAAAAAGGAAGAGGAAATGTTTAAAATGAGTATACCTAATATCTTAAAAATCCAAAATATTTTTAACCCTTCTGACTTACTTGTGTCTGTTATAAGGTTGGCCAAATAAAATATTGTTTTTAACAGTAGATAAATATAGCCATGGTTTTTGGCTAGCATAAGAAACAGTTCCAACAACATCGACTCTTCCTGAAATTGCTGGCAATTCTTTTATTAACATTTGCAATAAAGTCGATTTTCCTGATCCAGACGGTCCAATAATACAGCAAGAGTGGCCATAACTAATATTTAGGGTGACATTCTGAAATAAATAACAAATATTTAGTTATAAAATGGCAAACAAGGTATAAAAGTAATTTTAATTTGCAAATTGAATGATTTTCTTATGGATTCTATCATCAAATCTTGCTCTCACTCCTGAAGTACTCCCATTCTTCCAAAAACAAAAATCGGACAACGCGGTTAAGAATTATATGCTGAACACACATAAAAAATATTCTTACGAATTGAGAACCTTCTCCTTTTTCTGAAGTCGGTTATCAATACACAATATTCAGAGAACTCTTTAGTTGACCAAGAAAATTACACTAAAGACTATTGTTTTATTGTAAAAATTCAAATTACAGTTTCAGGAAGGTACGAACAGCAGAGTTTTTCGAATATTAGAAAATTTTGTTTCTAAATTGAATTCCCTGATAAAGGATTTAAGTAGCAATAGGGCAGAACAGTTTGTTAAAAAAAATGCCTAGCAAACATTTTATGGTAGAAAAAATTGTTTCAAAATTAGGTGTCAGGCTGCCGGTTTAGCTTATCAATTTAGTCCAAGTTGGTTGCTTCAAGTTTGTAGAAAAATATTTACTTCTAAATTTGGCATTATTTGCGAAAGGCAAATACATTTTGAAAAATCAATAATGTATAAACTGTTGCCGTTACTAAAACGAACTGAATATGGTAAACTTAACGAAAATGTTGCAATTGAAGCATATGCTTCTCTTACAAAGAATACAGTTGTTGAATATGGTTTACACGTCTATTTAGAAAGAGGTTATGGTTTCTTAGAAGCTTCACCGAATGGTTTGGTAGGTGACAATAAAATTTTTGAAGTAAAGTAAGAACTAAGACTGACCTGGAAATGGAATTAAAGAAAAAATATTATGCAGGGACCAGAGATGGTGAGACTTTTGGTACTACTTACGACATCCCCTTAACAAAATTCGGCAAAATAAAAATTTGAGGATATTCAAAGAATCCGTAGATATTAACCCACCCCTTCCCAATATCCACAAAAATAGGTTGATTAAAAAGGTCTGTAATTTTATTGCGGCAATACAGCATAGCTGCTTATAGATTTTGATTAACATGTTATACTTTCCTAAGTCTACATTTTTCAATTATTCTCAAATTTGGTATAATGTTTCATATTGTTAAACAAGAAATAAGAAAATAGAATCTTCTGGAACTCTTGGAATAATGGAATAAATTTTTATTATAAGAGTTTTCAAATTATTTTACTGGTTGAAGAGTCATTTTTAATTATTGTAATCCAAATTTAATTAAAATTAAAGATTTTCAATTAAATTTAGATTACGTTTACTATTCCTAGTCCTTTAAATATAAATGTCTTTGCAAATAATTGGAGAGAAAATAAAATTAGATGGATTTTTATTAAAATAATGTATACTACACTTAATCTATAAACTCAAAGCAATGAAGTAATAACTGTTTAAAATATACTTAGAGGTAGAGGCCCATAGGTCTTAATTAGTTACAATTAAATTTAATTTGTTTTTATGATAAATACGTACGAGTAATACTGGCTGAGGTCCCCATTTAGCACTAGCTTCTAAAAACCTGATGGTTCCAGGTTTTCTCATTCCTTTTGCATAGCTTATAATTTTCAATTGTTCTTCTTTTTCCTCCATTGTTAAGAAATTTTCTATCCTCGAAATGGCCGATATTGCCTCTAGATATCTTTAAAAGAGAAGAACCAAAAGAGAAACTACAGAGATTTAAAAAGATTACAATATCTTTGATAAGCGTCTTCTTATATGATGTATAAGTTTTTACCTTTCTATGGCTTCTGGAAACAAATAGCAGGCGTACTGTTGAAGGTTGTAAAAAATCAAAACTACTGCAAAAACTATTTCTGTTTTAAGCTCGTTTCCTAATAAAATATGTGTTGTTAAAGTCAGAAATATCGCAATTGTTTGCGTGAACATTACTGTAGATATTGAGAAGGATTTAATGAAGACCTTTTTGGACACAAAGTTCAATTCTTTTCTAAAATTAATATCAGATAAATTAATAAATCAATTCATCACATTCTAAAGAAAAATTGAGCAGAAGAAAAGAGAATATTTAAAAACAGTAGAACATAATTAGTAAAATTCCATTTTGTAGATCAATCATAGTATCAATTATACCTATTTCTACCTCCGAGCAATTACTACTAGAGGAGTATGCGTAAAGCGAGTTTGTAGACGATTGTTGTGTTCTCCCTGGTTCAGTGGCGTATAATTTTTCAGTAAAAATACACCTTATCCGAACTTTCTAATGGAAAAAAAAATTGATAATTTTACTATCATTAAAATATATACCGTGTTATAAATATGTCGGATGCAGAAAATAAAAGAAAATCACCGTAAAGGTTTAATTTTTTCAATTAAAGAATGAAACCTCAAAATCATACCACATCAATTTTATTAGAAATAAATACAGGAGTGACTAGTTTCGGCCTCACAGGGCCATCTTCAGGCCTGTAATATAATAATCCTTAATTATAATAGGAACAATATAAGAGTTGGTTGGTTGGTTACAAAATTAAATATTAAACAGTATGTAAATCACTAAAATGGATCCATATTGAAGCGTTACAGTATTGCAGAATTAAAAATGTGAAAAAGGAAAAATAGATGAGTATTGCTAATTTAACTAATAAGAAGAAAAATAGGTACGAAATCTACGAGAGTAGAGGTGAGATTGAGCAATTTCGAATTTAATAAAATTTGTAGCATGAATAGCCGGTTGGTTTATCTACTTTGATATATGTATTTGAGCTTAATTTATAGGGCGTGGGTTTTTAAATAACTTTGAAAAAGAAGTTGGGCACCACTATATTTAAAGCTTATACACTTAACTCTACATTAGTGATACAAATATAGAAAATTACTAACCACTAACAACTTTTACTTAAAAAATGCTTTAGATAAGGTAGGTATCAAATTCTAATTCACATAAGTTTGCACATAATTGAAATTTAAAACAATTTATTGATTAGATCAATTGCACTTATATGTGTGGTCAATAAGGTAATATACGGTATGGTAAGTTAAAGGTATAAATCAGGTATTTCTTATTTCGTCCCAAACTGCAGAGGTACATCAATCCTTAAACATTTTATACCGGTCAGGCAACTTCAACCAAGTGATTCGAAATTCTTATTCATAACTCTCATTCGTGACTCCTATTCGTGATTGAACTGTGAATGATCTTAAAGATAAATGATTCTTATTTGTATTCGAATCCGGTCATTAACATAAATAAATATAAATTAATATTTCGGTTGACCGAAATAAAATTGAAATAGAAGTGACCTATTCGTCGCTGTCTGTCAGATGAAATAAAAATGTCACTTCCTCTGACACAAAGAATAGACGACAAATGACATTTGAGTAAAAGGTGATTATGTTCGAAATAACTGTTAAAAATTGCTCAGGATAACAAGTAAGGCTGATAATGTAAAGTAAGTGGTGGTATGTGGATAGATCCCGTCAAAGAAGGTCCGGATATATGATTAGAGGACTCGGAGTTTCCTCTGTAAATCTTACTATATCAGCTGTAGGTAGACTAGAAAAAGTTAGGAGATCGTAGATGAAACCTCCAGTAAATGGCGTCTAATTTTTTATTCTCGCTCACTGTTTCGGCTTCACCTTCGAAATCACGAAATCACGTAAGTATATAATAAAATAACCTGAATTCATTATATTTAAGAAGCTAATGAAAAAACATATATGTTAACAAAAAAATAAAGTAGAAATAGATAATATTAATATAAAAATCAATTTGGCAATACAACAAACATAGATAAAATGAAATAAATTAATACATATACAAATAGAACCAATGAAAGTTAATAACATGCTTTCTGAAAGTAACACATTTTAAGTAGGTAATTTTTTGATGAGTTTATGGTCCCCGAACATAACTAATCTGGCGTTTTCTCCTTCTTAATATTACGAGAGTTTTTGTAGTTGAAATGAAAATTATAATTTATTTTTGGTCCTAATAAAAATTTAAACATAGGTTATCAAAGAGGAAAATGCATTTAGAACTTCATAATCTTAAAGAGTTTTCAAAATTATTAATGGTAAAACTTCAAACAATATTTAGATTCCTAAACAAATTTCTTGTTTTTGTTTTGCCAAAGACTTTTTGCCATCTTCTGTTACCTCTTCTACTTTTCTTTTAGGAGATTGAAGGAGAATTTCACTATGGAAACCAGGAGAACCATCAACTGGTTGGTAACATTTTGATATTTTGTTTCTGGTAAGGTCTTGTTAAACTTTCTTCTTACATAGCTGTAATTTTCCGGAGAATAAAAGTTTAATGTTTTATATGTGAGAAGTCCGTTTCAATAATATTTTCCGAAGTTCTTGGAATCGTTGTTCACAAAGCCTGCAAGAAAAATATTTACTTCCTAAAATATAAAATATCACATAATGAACATTCAAATAATATCATTGTGCTAGAACAATTGTAGATAGGTACTGGGACATCTCAAAAAAAAAAATTCCAGAAAATTAACTTTTAATTGTACTTAACTTTTTTATTGCTTGAATTAATTTTGTAGTTCGTTGTTTTAACTTAAAATCCACATTTTTTTTAAGTTATTCTAGTATTGCTTAGAGATATAAAATCTAATAACAAACATTCAATGTTTTTTGGGTGGTTTTTTAATAAATAAAAAAATATGAATAATGTGGATATTATTGTTTAGTGCGTTACTGCGTTGTTTTTATAGAATAAAAATCACTTATACCTATATCTTTACATTTCGGACACGAGGACTTACTATTTTCAGTTTTTGGCTTTGAATAGTTTTCCTAACAATGTTAAAACCTTCTTTTGCATTTATGGAGACTACATATCATTAGCATATCTTTGAGGTTCATTTTGTTTATAACTGAAACTAATTAAGTACATAATATGAAAATTTAAACAATACAAATAGTTAGTCGATTAAATTAGATAGTTTTAAAAAACATTGCCCTCAAAAAAATGGCATTGCTTCTTCCTTAAAGAAATCTGGATTACCTTTTAGTTCTTGATGATCCTGTTGGTGTGAAATATAACTTTTTGATGGTTTAGAAGGTGAAAAAATAATAGAAATTATACTCTGTATGCGTATAAAATAAAAAATTAAAAATTTAGGTAAGCACCCTGACTGGAGCCTACCGACTTTAAACAAGTCTCGCCCAATTCAACCATGGCCTTCATCAAAAGGTGTTGCTTGTACGGTGAACAATAAGTCAGTCATGAGCCACAATAGACTCATCTGGGTCGCAGTGGAAGATGAGATGATCCCACTCATCTTCAACCTAACCTAACCTAGGTAGGTACTATTATTGTGAAACCAACCTTTTTCTCTGCCTCACTTACTGTTTTAGTATTTTAGTAGCAGATGAATATGGTGATGAAGTAGTGACATGTTTGATTAGGTATTATACTTATCTCGTCTGAATTTGCTAAAATTGCATTTTGTTTCTCTGAAGTGTGTGATAAAAATATTCATTATTTAAATGATTAGACATTAGTCGGGTGGCCTTTTGTAGAATTCCTAAATTTTTGAACTATTTATATCAAGAAAAGAAAACTTGCAATAAAAAATAACAATAAATTTAATAAAGATATGATATTAAAATAAAGCCACAAATTTGAATTTTCTTTATTTGTGTCAATAAGTAATTAACTTTTACTGTAATCATTATAGGATGGATGAATACTAAAGAAGAACTTAGTTGGGGTTTATTCTCTCTTTAGTTTACTTTTTCGATAAAAAAATAAGAATGTTTCATTGCAAATTAATAGTGATTGCCTAATGCACCACCACTGATAATTAGGTTATGTTTGTACTTACTTATAATACATTCTTAAAACATCCTTTTCAACACATATTCACCACTTTATTAGAGATAATAAATCTTAAATATACATTTACAACCTTTCCAATTCAATAAATAATTATATTTTTTGTAAAATACAAACCAGAAATTGACATGTATAAGAAAGTATTAGAACTGGCGTTGTCAAGCTTAGCTAAGCCAAAGTTGGCTAAGCTGATTAAATAAGCCAATTAAAAGCAAGGAATTTCCCCTTTCGTGGAGAGTAGATGTTTTTTACTAAATTTGGCGCAAGGATGAGGAAAATACTCTCTCTAAAGTAGTAATTGCTCGGAGGTATGTAAAACAGTGTAAGTCCTTTTTTAGAATAAGGTAACATGTCTCATAAGACAAAATTGTTTGTTGAATCACTACTAAAATCGATGTTTTTGGATTTTCATCAATAACATGCCGACCGTTTTCAATATTTTTAGCTGTGCGTTTAGACCGCTGCCGCACACTTCCAGTTTTTTGACCAACGCTACCAGTTTCTCTGAATAACTACACACAATTTGTCAAATCATTGTAAACAACACTTTAGTCAAACACTAATTCAAGAAAATAAGCCATGCATTCTGGAATTGAATACAGAAATTCGCCATTTACTTTCGTACATGTACGGAAGTAACATTTGATAATTTTTTGCTTTTTGTCCTGGATAGTATACTATTTTCAAAATTTAATTTTCTTGATAAAAGTTTTGACAAATTTGAAGCAAACGTTCAGTTTAAATTTCAAGGTTAAAATGTCATTCTGTGGAAGTGGATAAAGTTCTAATCCAAAACATTTAAATTTCATAGCCGACTTCAATTATTATGATTTTTCTCGACGACTCGTTATAAATTAGTATTTAAAATGTTACTAAACTAATCATAAACTTACGCTCTTGTTTTTTCTATAATTTTTTTAAATGGCATTTCCCAGCCGTACATTTTTATTATTCGAATTCCATACAAAATTTCCTTCATGATCTTAACCCTACCGTCCATATAAACTGATAGTTGACACTGAATTTCTCTTTGTAAAACTGACATATAACCTGTAAGAAAATTAAAAATAAATTTAAAAAATCAAGTAACGTATTGGAGACTTAAGTATCTAATAATAAATAATTGTTTTTAAAATTTTCATTAATATCAACTCAAATACAATGTTTTATTTCCAATTTTTCAAATAAGAATTAAATAAATTCGTGGATATGCCAAAATTTTTATTTTTGTTTGGCATAACCATTACCTTGAGGTATTGTCATAAACAACATAAAACATAATCCTGCCAAAGATGAAAGCCCAATCATGTGAAACGAAATATAGGTTGATGATAAAAACTGCAGTGGTGTTATATACAAATATTGTAAATAAGGAGCAACTGATTCAATTTTTTTCACATCTTCGGAGACCAACTTTACCAAACGCTGCGGTGAGATCCTACTCAAAGAATATTGGCTCAGTTTCAAAACCTGAAAATAAGATTAAAAGAATAGTTTAGGTGTAGTTGCAATTTTGATAGAAGAGCACATTTACAATTCTACTAGTTTTTTATTTAGAAAATGTAAATATTTTCCATACTAAAACCAAGTGTAAATATATTTTAAGATTTTGTTTAAAGAGCATTGAAAAAAAACTATTTAACTGCTTTTAACCTTTATTTTGTGCATAATAACTATTGTAAGGAATGCAAATAATATAATAATCATAATGAAATATAAATAAATAGTTATCTCTGTAAGGTTAATAAAATTCTGCTGAATAAAGTTGACTTGAAAAAGTAGCAGTTTCAGTGAAGGGAGTTGAAATTTTGGTGAAGGGATGTAATAGTAGGAATTTTGGTGAAGGGATTTAATAGTAGGAATTTTGCTGAATGAAGTTGACCTTTCGGCAACGGGAGTTGACATTTTGATGAAAGGATTTAAATTTTGGTGAAGGTGGTAGGTATTGAAATTTTGGTGAATAGTTACCTTTTTGCAAAGGAAGTTGAGATTATGGCAAAAGGGTTGACATTTTGGTGATAAAAAATTGAAATTTTGGCGAAATTATTTAAATTTTTTTTTGCTACTACAGAAGGGCCAGCCTTTTTATAGCAATATAAAGAATTAACGATTAAAAAGAACCAATAAGTTTTGGCTGAGTGCATGTAGTTGTCATTAACAATAAAAAACTTTGTATTTAGATCAAATTAAAATTTAAAAAATCATTTTGCACAGCGTCTTTGGCCTCAATTCATCACCTTTTCATTGCTTTTCTACAATAAAATTGTGATGTAAATAAATGTAATAAAATGTTACAGATTAACTAAGAATTATAAGTTGACAAAATTTAATAAGAGAGATTTATATTGACAATATTGATTAGGCTAGAATCCTTAAAAATTTAAAATGAGGAATTCCCGAAACTTGGTTGATGAAATTTATTAAATTTTATATTTTAAAGAACTATTTAACTACTTTAAACTTCTACTTTGTGCATAATAATTATTGTAAAAAATGCAAATAATATTTCAATATTCATAAAATATAAATAAAGAGTAATATTTTGTGGCTTTCTGTAAGGTAAATAAAATGGATGGAGTAGATGGAGTAGGAGTTGTAATGTTGGTGAAGAAAGTGACATTTTGGTATTGGGGAATTGATATTTTGGCGAAGGGGTTAAAATTTTGGTGAAGTTATTTTAAATTTAAGTTGGGAAGAGAACCCTCTTATCGTAAAATAAAAAAAAAATAAGTTTTAGGAAGAACCAAAAAAGATTGTGACTGTGTCCACGTAGCCAACATTAGCAATGAAAAAACTTTATATTTTGGCCTCAAGTTATCATCAGTACTTATCTATAATAACATTGTGACTGTGTAAATAAATTTGATAAAAAGTTAGTTGCAAAATAAATAAAAATAATTATTAGAGAAGGAATTCAATTCAAATTTAGGTGAAGGAACTTAGATGCATTTTTTGCATTGTCAATTTCACTTATTTTGCATTTTAATATTTTAATATTTATTAGATCGGATAAAAAAACAAATTTATCCGAGTACTAGATACGGTTACTAACAATGTATCTGGATGCCTTTTCAAACAGTACGGATTCTTTCACATAAAAATGTACTTTGATATAAATATACGGATCCATTTTTTCGGATGTTTTAAAGGACACTTTTAAAGTGAGTTAAAATTAGACCAATAGACCAATAGATATAATTTATGGGCACAAAGCGATTGAATACGGTAAAAATAGTACCCATATATACAGGGAGTCATAATTATTGGGACAGAGAGTAAGCGAAGATTATCTGGTCCAAACAAGCCTTTATAAAATGAGGCTGTGGGAAAGATACAGGGTTAAAGTTGTTACATTTTTTTCTAATTTTGGTAATAATTTCACAATATTATTATATTCATTTCGTTATCAAAATTGGCACAGAGAAATAGCTTCAAGCAAGGAATATTATTTATAAATGAAAGATCTTACATATTTATTCTGGTATAGTTAAATTGTTGTCCTTCTATACGATGTCAAAAGAATTGAGAGAGCTGGGATGGGATTATAATTTGTGTATACCAACGAGAGTTGAAATCTGATTGACTTCAAATCTACGAGTTAAGATGTCGAAACAACGTGTCTCGATAGATCAACTGGTAAGAGCATGGACGGCTACAGTCTGAAGGTTCCAGTTCGATATCCGTTCGAAGCATTCATTTTTTCATTCTTTATTTCTCAGCTTTTTCAATTTTTCTTTGGTTTGTTTTCACTTTGGGGATATAGTGGGAAATTTTTCATGATTATATAGGGGAATTGGGGATTATTTATTTTCATATTTCGAAAATTGAATATTATTTAATTTATTATTTTACATTTTTATACAGGGAGTGATATAGGAGCGATTTTTGATGCTTAAATTGAGGCATGCCTTTTTTAAAAAAACTTTTTATTATGATTAGAAATTATGATAAAAACATATGTTCAAATGAACATTAAATGACTTACGCACATGCAAGAACAGAAAAGACCATTATAATGTAGTCATTTACATTTGGAGTCAGGGATCCATAACCTGCTGCTGACCGGTAACTGGCAACATCGATACAAAGTAATGGTCAATTGCTATAGGGCGAGGTTACAGAAAAAGCAAGCCTTTAACTTTGCAGATCTGCAAATATGACGTACTTACAGATGCAAGATGCACGTATCAATTTTTCGTAATCCACAAATCATCTGCAAATCTGCCATATTTATTGTAGTTCAATACCCCCTAACAACAATAAACTCAAATCCATAACTATATTTAATCAATAGTAACAGAAAACTAAATGTTTAATAAAAAAAAAAAACAAAGAAAAAAATTTCTTCTGCACGTGTGAACATCATTTACTATTTACCCCAAAACAAACAGAGCGGAACAAAGTGTTTGATCTTGCCAGCACGTCTTTTGTTTCAAACATACTGTGACGAAGTCACTAAATTTCATTTTTAAAATGTTTATTTTAATTAATTTCCGCCTGGAAACGTTCTGAAGAGCCCCGTATTTTTGTTTCCTAGAAATTGTTGTTTTTAAACATTTGCGAGAGCCCTTTAAATTTAAAATATATCAGTATTTACCCAAATTCGAATTCGGATTTAAACATTCAATTTTATGTAAATTATCTAGTTATTTTCAGCAGGTGTCAAAAGGGCATTTTTTTTATTTCCTAGCAAGTAAACATTGAAACTGAAGATGGTCTCCCACTTTGAACTACTCGGAATCCGAACTAGTCTGGTCGTGAGATATAAACGCGAGAGCCTGAAGAAGTTCGCCCTCTTTTGTCGCTGTTCTACCGTCGACTCTTTTTTGTTGCTACTCCGTTCTGCTATTAGTCGTAAGTGCCGAACATAGTATCGAAAAGTTTATCCCAGTATCCCGTATCGAGACCGTCTATAACTAAACCAAATATTAAAATCGTATGGATCGGTTCTGTTGGGCATCCGTTAAATGCGTTATTAAATAGCCGAAGAGCATTTTTAGTTCATTTTCATTTTATTTGTTGGGAAAACCGCTGGTAATTTTTTATAGGTTTGGTTAACAGGTGTGTGTTTCGCAGTGTTCTACCCAACTTCTTAAAAAAACCCAACTCAAAACTGGAGTATAGAATCTAATTTTTTATTTTGTTGATAAAACCGCTGGAAATGTTTTTTAGAGATTTGGTTGACAGCTGACACAAGTGTTTCGCAGTATCCTCTATTTTACACAATTTCTTGAAAAACCCGAGTCATTTTTAAGTCAGAGCAACCCTAACTACACATCCTGTATTTTTTCAAAATTTATTTTGTTGCGTCGGTCAAACCGGACTATGTGAACTGCTCCTGTTTAGTTTAGCTCCTAGAGTTTAGTATTCGTAATTCCCAACTGGAACCTTCCGGATATTAGAAATTGGGAAAGGGAACAACTTAAGAATCTCTTTAAAGTCTCGCCTTTCGTATCACCTCGGGCGACGGCGCTATCATACGAAGGCCGCTAATCAGCTGAACACATTCCTTTTTCGTTTTTTTTTTGTCTCTGGCTCGTGCTTGAAATAACCGTTTAATTTATTTCATTTTGATTTAATAATAATAATAATAATAATAATTTTCTATTCTATTCTATACAGGGAGTACTGTAATTACCGTTGATTTGTTACTTTTGATTTTCACTATTCGAGCGTTATATTTAAACCATTATTCAATTGAACTTCCGTTTTATATAGATATTTTAATTGGTTTAATAATTTTTATAGTTAACGTCTGTGTTTAAACAAATCATTTAATAGAAAATTCATTTTCTATTATACAGGCAGTGCTGTAATTACCGTTTGGTTTATTTCTTTGATTTATTTAAATAATTCTAAATTGAAAATTCATTTTCTATTATACAGGGAATGCCGGTGATACCGAATATAGTATCAAAAAAAAAAAAATAAAATTATTAATTCTCTTTTACTATTTTTTATTTAAGCACGAAAAAGAAGCACTTGCACATTTATAACGACTTGGTTGGTTGGTTGGTTGGTTGGTTGGTTGGTTGGTTGGTTGGTTGGTTGGTTGGTTGGTTGGTTGGTTGGTTGGTTGGTTGGTTGGTTGGTTGGTTGGTTTTTGTGCAAAAAACCATTATGTTTAAAGTAATTTATAACAACAATAAACCGTTTATTTGAACATAAAAACTATTGTTACATTTAAAAACAAAAAGACAAAAAAAAACCAATTGGCGTCCTGACAAAGTGACCTTAAATTGAATCGGTGAGTTCGAAAAGCGTATATGTCCAAAATCAGCCTTCCGAGAAAAACAATGAACCCTTTTTAGCGTTGAAACTACTTGACATAAAGTATTTTCATGCATTTTTAAATCTCGTGGTTTGCAATGTCTTTTTAATGGTAGTTTTTTAGAAAACAAAATGGACTAACAATTACAGATACAAATGGAGTATGGACTTGTACGGTTTTTGAACATATAAAGAGAAACAGGTGAACTTTTTTTGAATTATTTATTATTTATTCAAAAAGGAGAATAATTACAATATCAAAACTGTTATCTCAGTCATCTAATTATAATTTTCAGCATTTGTGGTTTTTCAACTGACTTAAGCCTTGGTTTCTTTGAACACTCCGTCGCGATGAGCGGACAGTCCGTCGACCGCTGAGGACAGCAATTTTCGCCCGAGGTGGTTTCTAAAAAATATAGAAAATGATACTTTCTCTATGTCTGTACGTGCTGTTTATGTAATATGAATGTAAACGAAAGGTACTAAAATGGTTGCAAATAAATTGTTTGCGTTGTTATTATTGTTGGAAGAGGAAGAACAAGAGGAACTGGTAATTGCAACCGTCAAAGTTTCCAGTGATTGAGTTGTTTTTCTGTCGCGATACAGAAGGTGCCTTTAATATCACTGTGCAGCGGAGGCTTTTTGGAAATGAAACCAAATTTAGGGAGTATTTTAGACTTTCTACAGATCTTTTTGAATTCGTGTTGAGTTTTATAAAGGACATAATTTCCAAGAAACCTAAAAATAAAGTCATGATGTCATCTGTATGTGTGAATTTGTCACTCATTGTTTTAAAATTAATAACAATATAGTCTCCGCACACGCCGACGATTCCGCTGATATCAAACTCAACAGATATCAACCGACTCTTCGCGATAAATCAGCGGCATGACGCCGTCCTGTTCAGCTAAGCGGATTCAAGGAAACCATTCCCATTTAAATACTCTGGTTGGATAAAATCGTCAAAACGCGACGGTTGACGGACTGTCCGCTCACCGCGACGAAGTGTTCAAAGAAACCAAGGCTTATGGCTGATATTACAGAAGCTCTGTAAATTGTACTTGCATCTGCAACTATCAGGTTCAATCGCAAAAGAGAAACATGGTATTACAGAAACGTGTTTACACTTTTTGTGCCTGCAAATCATCTGTAACTTTGGAGGAGGTTGGAACATCCTGCAAACTTGAGGAATGCCAATTTTTTTCTTTGTTTTTTTTTTTTTATTAAACATTTAGTTTTCTGTTACTATTGATTAAATATAGTTATGGATTTGAGTTTATTGTTGTTAGGGGGTATTAAACTACAATAAATATGGCAGATTTGCAGATGATTTTTGGATTACGAAAAATTGATATGTGCATCTTGCATCTGTAAGTACGTCATATTTGCAGATCTGCAAAGTTAAAGGCTTGCTTTTTCTGTAACCTCGCCCTATAGCAATTGACCATTACTTTGTTGTTGAGATGAAAAACCGTACGAGTCAGGGACATGTACGGTTTTTCTTCTCATTTCACGAGTGCAATCAGCTGTGGTACGTTAACGGCTAGGTATATAGTACGGCCTTTAAGCTCAATCAATGAAGAGACAAATTTTAAAAAAAATGGCTATCTTACTTTAAAATGTCAAATTTTGAACTTGTACGGTTTTCGAACTCACCGATTCAATTATTGAAAACTGAAACGTATTGCTAGCAATAACTGAAGAGACGCTTTTTAATAACGGGTACTTGAATTATTGCTTGCATTCTCCTTGGTATACCTTAAATCAAATGGCGAATTGTCTTGTTGAGAAATAAGGTCCCATTTCTCTAAAAGAGCTTGTTACACTTACACACAACCAAACTTATATCTTAACCCCTTATTTCAATTCAGATTTGTTTCAAAATCAATAGGCTTTGTCCCCTTATAGAGCTTGATTTTCGCTTAAAATTTTCGAGTTGATATCATTTTTCTCTTTAAGCTTAGCGCGCAGACAAAAAATGTGACATCGAACAGACGGACAAAGTAAACCTATAATACTCTTCACAGACTACTGTGAGTATAATACATATATAATATATAATTAAGGCTAAAACAATAATATAATAGACTAAAAATATAGGTACAATAAAACAATGATAAAGTCAAACTTTTGAACAATATTTATTTTAATAGGTATATATCAGTACCTCCGAGGTAAACTGCACTATGTCATTCTAGTCAACTTTTTAGTATAGCAGACTGAATATTGTTTGGACACTTTTTGTGTTCCATATTTCATCTTAAACTTTTAAAGATCGTTTCTTGAAAAATAATATATTATTTTAAAGTCCATACTTGCAGGTTGCTCATCCATCTTAAATCAGGAACCAATTTGTATGTAAAAGAGACACAACCGTATCGAAAAACAATGTGTTTACACCTGAGAGCTATGGTTTACACACAGAAATTTACAATTGATTTCAGATTTGCACTAAGTCGTATCTTTGAGGTAATATAACAACTAAAAAATTTAGATAAACAAATCCTTGACAACGCGAGTGTAAACAAATATTGCTTCGACTTGTCATTTATAATTATATTGGGAATCCGTTTTATCATGTTAATACTTCAGTATGTGCCACGGTCATGCCTTGTGTTTACTTATTTTGCATTTTATTGATGGAGTACACGCCATAATCGATGAAAAAAAAAGTGGCCTGTAGGAAATAAGTCGATTTTTTGGCAAAGCGGCGAAACTATGCACTTAATTGCTTTCTCCCTTGGTAAAGACTAATTTATAACTTTTTTATTATCAGTGATGACGGCTGTTACTTATATCATTATGATTAGAAATTATTAAACTGGTTGTTTGCGTTTGAAACCCTTAGTCAAAGTCACCACAAGCAAAATCAAAACATTGTTATTACCTTTTTCTGGATTAAATTTGAACATGCTACTTTCGCTCGAGTTCCGATACGAGCACATCCGACAAAGCAGTGATGGTATATCAAATTGTTGAGAAGTGCCAAACCAATTATAACGGCAGCAAAATAGTAGACCAGTGCTTGATCGGAAACGTCCTTCTCAAAATGCCTAATATATTCTGCTAAAACTATTGGATGCAGTACTCTAAAATGAAAAATCCAAATTAAACAATTTAAAAACGATTAAAAAATCTTACCGACTCTCCAATATACGAACAAAGTAAACGAAATTATATTACTTACTAATAAAATTGGGAGAGTCAGCAAGAATAGAAAAAGACCAGTGGACAAACCAGAAAATTGGGCAGTCGGTAGTTGAATAAGAAGTCGAGAAGATGGACTTAAAAAGAGTACTAGATGTAGGGAAATTAGTAAAAGTGAGACATAAGTAATAGTTAATAGACCGAAACCTTTTGGGAGATTGTTACGTGTTCCTAGCTGAATATAATTAAATTTTTCTAAATTAGCGAGTTGCTAAACCTTTTGGAAAATTATTTAGTTTTAGCGAGGTGCCATTAAACTATATTGGTGAAACTTGGTCAATTAAGCATGTGAGAATATCCAGAACGCCATATTAGTCTACTAAACGGGTATAATTTCATATCAATTCTTGAATTTGTATGAACTCCACCAATAAGAGTTCATAATAATATTATTATTATATATTTTAAAAATTTAAAATTTGTGACAATTCTGTCAAACTAATTGTCAGCATATTTTTTTATTATCTAGATAAAATATAATTAATAGCGATTATTATTGGTGCGTTTGATTTTATCATCTGAAATTTCCGAGCGCTGCAAACGTGTTTGAATTGACCTCGGAATTGACACTACAAGCGATCCCAAAAGTGTTTGTTTCGCTTTGGAGCGAGAACATAAAGCGAGCTCGATATTCTCAGAGCAGGATCGAGAAGAGGGAGAAATTTGTCTTTGTTTCTACCTATCTCACCTATCGTTTTTACATTAACCTACAAACCATAGCCCTCAGAAAGTCTAGATACCGCTTGGCGTATGCTGTCAATACAAAAAATGACCCCATTCAAGCTTGTCGCCATGTTAGGTAAATTTATGTTTTGGCTACACTGATTTTTAGTTTGTGTGTTCTGTAATACGTGAACACCGATAATCTGCACTTTGTTATTAGTTATAAGTGAGTGAGACGCACAATTTCTAATTTCAAATTAAGAACAAAACTTTGACAAACCTATTTGATTTTCCTAGATCTGTTCAGACAGGACCGGTTTTATAAATTTTCTCGTTCTTGAAATGTTATTTTTACATGGTTATATATATTATTAGATAAATGTTTTGTGTACATATTGCTATGAGAATTATAGAGAAATTCAGTGAGATTTATGTAATATAATTCAAATTACAAGTAAATTATCTGTTCCTGTTTGGCAATAAGGAGAAAATACCTACTTCAATGTCAAATGTACTATTTAAAAGAATGTGATTGTTAACCGGTCATTTATTTATATTATGAAAATAAAAACTCGAATTTTTTAACTAGGGAAAGATATACTTACTTAACAAGGTATTTTTAGAAAAACTAATAGATTACTCCTATTCCTATAGTTTATTTGAAAATTAATAATAGCAAAATTATATAAAAATATGGATCTTTGCCATAAAAACTGTGCTACCAACCATTTTCAAATAAAGTATAATGATAATTTGATTTAATAGAGCGAGTATAAGATCTCACCTGTTAGAGAAATTGGGGCATAGGGAAGAGATTATGAAGCAGGTAAGCAAAGTCGTTGCAAAAGATAAATATATAGAAGTTATTTTAAAAATTTGATAAAAAACTAGTGGAACAATAAATGGAGTTGTCGCTATCGGAGATCCAATCAGCAGAAAGTAAAAAAAAACTTTGGGAATGTTGGAAAAGGGCACAGCAATAGGCCCGAAACAATTCCTTGGTTTTTTAATAAATATAATCTTGTGAGATGCAAAAAATACTGCTAGAGTGGAGAAGCAGTATTGTTCTATTGTAGAAAACCCAGGGACATACAGCAGTGCACTAACCATAGGCGAACAGTCACTAAATTATACAAGAGTCCCATCTCGATTTTATTTTTAAATATTTTTGAGAATACCTATTATTATTTGTTATACTGAGTTTAATAAAACCACAGATTTCGAATGTATTGAAAGTTATTTAAAAAGTACCTCTATAAATATATAGAAAATGTGTATATGACTAACTGGTTTTATTAATCTTTTTTTGGGGTAGGTAAATATATTTTGAAAAATTTACAATCTTCTTTTGAATAAAAGACAAAATATTTCTGTTTTTATTAACTGAACAATATTTTATACAAACATAATATATACCTATTTAAAAGAAAATATTACATTTTACAAGTATCGCATATTTATATGAAATAACTTACTCAATAAGAAATAATTAAATGAAACAAATTAATAAACAATGGATATGAAAAATTGCTTTAACAATTTAATCCTTAGATAAACTTATTCTTACATATTGCTTTAATCAATTTATTTACTATAAAAGTATATTTCCTAACATTTATTACATGTAATAAAATAAAGCATAAAACATACAAACTATAATATGTACCTACTTAGAACGGAACTAATATTATTGTATCAAGGTAGTAATAGTGGACATTTTCCGAATAAAAAAAAGTAAAAAAGAAGTAACGGTCGACATGTTTTTCTGACTATTGGTCTTCATCAGTACGGTGCAGCCAAGTTCAAAGGATCATGGAACGTGTGTTGGAAAAATTGTACAATAGGTCACTAACAAGGAGCCAATAACACATTTGCCGTTTCAGCTAGTATCCCCAAATTTTCTGGGCTTATACTAAAGTCACAAAATGATTCAATGGTCTTCCTATGGCTATCAGTTATTCTTTCCTAAATTTTTTTGGTATGCTACAACAAAACACAAATTATTTGATTTTGAAAATATACAAATATTTTTGAAAACTTACACATGAAATGTTATTCCTTCCTTGTATCTTCTACCGTTGGATGCATTGTTACATTCACGTACAAAACAACAAGATATTTTGAAAATCCTGTAAAAATTTAACACCAAACCACAAATGTTTTTTATTAAAATAAAACACTAAACGACTAAACTAAAAAATAATGTTTTAAATAAAACCTTTACTAGAAGAACAAAATAAACAACACAACAGATAATAAAATCGATTATATACGTCGAACGCCGATCTTACGCTTATTACTAAACTTGTGCCGATTCTGTCTTGTCAGAAGTGCCAATTTAAAATTTATTGACATTTATTTATCATGGCGCCCATCATATGGGGGGTCAAAATGTTTTTACGATGCGGTATCTAGACCTTCCGAGGGCTATGCTACAAACAAACTTGAATCTCAAAATTCGAGACCAGACAGGAAGTCAACAAATTACTTAGCCGCTTTTGTCTTATAGCTAAAATTATTCACCATAAAAAAATAAAATGTGTGTTTGGAAAATATATTTACTCTGCTCAGATCTAATCACCAGTAATCACTTGAAAGCGACGCGCATATTATGGTATACGCTGCATTTCAGGGCCATTATTCAGTCATGCTCTAATCCTCCAAGTTCCTCTCTGTCTTATTTGGCCTTTGAGGCTCAACTTGTCCGATTATCATACATAATTAAACTCCTTAAGACCAAACATATGTGACGACTATGGCGAAGGTGCTTTCGATTACTTTCCAGAAAGAACGTGATAATGTTTCAAATTTTAGCAAGAACGTTCTAGAACCTTCACCAGAATTTTGAATGTGTATATAAATATTGGTGAAGGAACACGGAGCAGTCAGTCGTATACAAACAGTTGTGAAGATAAATAGTGAACAATTTAAAGACATTCGAAATATATAAATTAGAATATAGTATTGTTTTAAAATAAATAAGTGTTCAAATAAATTATTAACAAATAAATTGTTGTTTAAAATAAACAAACGTAACACCCTTATTAAAAGTTCTTTAATTTTTTTCACTTTTACTCAATGTCTTGACACACAAAGCAGAAACAAGAAACAAGAATAAAAAAGCGAGGTAGTAATAAATTTCAAAACGGAAATTTTATTTTTAAAAAATTTATTTAGGCAAAAATACACTTAAATTGAAATTTAAGACAACTCTGGACTAAAGCCTATACTACAGCTACCTCAAATAACAACAATAATAAGGTTTTACTTCTATTTATAAACTAAAAATGATTATTAAGTAAAGATAATTTAATTATAACAGAAAAGAGTACATTATATTCACAATATGTAACTAGGTTATGTTTTTACTCTGCTTTATTTGATTTGATTCAATGCCCTATTGTAACGTCATCATTTCTCGGTCTCCTCGATGCCCGCTGGATTGTGTTTCAAATCAAACAACCCTTAAGAACAATCGATAAATAATGGCAATTTACTAGATATTCATTTATATTTACAAAGAGGTGTAAATTTTAATAAAACTATAAAAAACCAAAAATTTATAAATTCAAATCTTTTTGTTAATTATTTTATCTTAATAACCTCCAAATTAATTTTTAGAATTTTTCAGATTTACTTTAGTGAAAAAAATAGTACTGAGCAACTGAAGTAGATTGTTGGTATCGTGATCAAACTTCGTTTTCGTGTGTATATACGAGTAGTCGTCATATCTACTCATTTATAATCATTTGCAAATAATGTACAATGTTCACTTTCAATGAATATTAAAAGATAAAGTTAAATATACTTAAATTGCATTTCTTACCTTATGAAAATAGTTTGGATAAATAAAAACAGGTCGTATAACAAAAATGAGTATCCAAATGTATATAATAATGTTTTCTTTAAATACGGACATCGATTCTTTATTCTAGATTTTTTCAGTTCATAATTCCAATTTCTGAAATAAAATAAAAATTTTATTATTTAGATTTTATTATATTAACGTGTGATTCACACAAAAAAGAAGAAAAACTGTAATCTTTAACATGCCACCCAAACCCATGCAGAACATGGAAACAACCAAGGTATTTGCGTTCCTCAAAACCCAAAACCAAGGGCTCCAGACGGAACAGTGGCAAGTCATTCACAGGCAAGTGCAAGACAACGGTCAAATCATTGTACTGTTGATTGACGACGACTCTCTGAAGGCTTTAGAAAACCTGCAGTTAAAACCCTATCTGGGCCTAACTCAGGCAATCTTCAGAGTGCAAAGGGAGAGGAAGGAAGAACCTTCAGATGCTCAGAATAGTGCAAGCTAATCTGAGACACTGCAAGGCCGCCTCCGCAACCCTTGCACGTACCATTATCAGGGAGGACATAGACGTAGCCCTAATACAAGAACCCTGGATTTACAAAGGGCATGTGATGGGGCTCAGAGAAACCAAAGGTAAGTTAATATACAATACCCAATGTGGAAACACTAGGGCTTCTATATACATACGAAATAGTCTAGACATCCTCAACTTACATGATTTCTGTTTTAGAGACCTAATAGCAGTCAGGATGGAAATAAACGTAGCAGGTAACAAGAGGCCATTCATTTTACCTCTGCATACCTTCCCTATGACTCGCCCAACCCTCCACCAACAGATGAGCTGGGGATTTAGTAGATACCTGTCGGGTCGAAAACCTGCAGGTACTCATTGCTGCTGACGCAAATTCACACCATAAAACATGGGGCAGCAAGGACAACAACAAAAGAGGTGAGTCTTTACTTGAATTCATTCTAACCACTAACCTGGAAATATTGAATCGTGGAAACGAACCTACTTTTGTAACCAGTAGACGGAGCGAGGTTATTGATATTACCCTTGGTTCTTCCTTCGTTTCAAATCACATTGGCAAGTGGTACGTGTCTAGAGAGCCTTCGCTCTCAGACCATCGGCATATTCTCATGGAAATCGACAACGTCGATAAACCAGGAGATGTATACCGAGACCCATATAAAACCAATTGGTTTGGATACGGAGTGGAGCTGGGGGCAGTGTTAAAAACCGTTAAAATTACTCTTAATACTAAAAATGATATAGATGAAGTTGCAGAACAACTACGGGACGCAATTATAACATCATATCACAATAACTGCTCGTTAAAGAACAGGAAAACTTCTAGGGAGGTGAGCTGGTGGAACACCGAACTCGTCAAACTTAGAAAGAAAACACGTAAACTTTTTTAATAAGGCTAAAAAGACGAATGAGTGGGGGGAATACACCGAAACACTCACAGAGTAAAACAAAACTCTTAGGAAATCTAAGAGGGATTCATGGAGAACATTCTGTCAGGAAATTGAAAATACAACTGAAGGATGCAGACTTCACCGCATTCTAGCAAAAGATCCAATAAACCCTGTGGGGACTTTAAAAACCCAAACAGGGGAATACACTAAAACTGGAATGGAAACATTAGAACTACTTCTTAAAACTCATTTCCCTAATTGCACAACAAACTCGAATGCAGCAAACCAAACCCACACGAACTCGAACTCTCAAAAAAGGGTCTCCAGCCAAGAGTGGGAAACTGTTAAATGGGTAGTTACAACATAGAAAGTAACACGGGCAATACGCACCTTTAATCCATACAAATCACCGGGACCAGATGGGGTACTGCCTGTGCTTTTGCAACAGGCAATAGAAACGCTGGCTCTGCATATTTGTAGGCTCTACAGGGCAAGTTTGGTGCATAAACATGTACTAAATACCTGAAAACAAAGCAGAGTTGTCTTTATACCTAAACCGGGGCGTCCAACATATGCCGTGGCAAAGGCCTATAGACCAATAACTCTGACGTCATTTCTATTGAAAGGATTGGAAAAACTGATTGATCAGCATGTCCGGCAAACCACTCTGATAGAGAGGCCATTTCATACAAACCAACATGCCTATCAATCAGTAAAATCTTGTGAGTCTGCTCTGCACCATCTTGGTACCAAGATAGAGGGAGGACTCAGTAGCCAAGAAATGGTCATAGGAGCATTTCTTGACATAGAAGGAGCTTTTAATAATACCTCCTTTAAATCAATGGTAGCTGCCGCTCGCAAACATGGAATAGAAGACACCATCTGCTGGTGGATAGAAGACATGTTATGCGGACGGCAAGTACAGGCACAAATGTTCAGTGAACCCATGCAGGTGAATATCCGCAGGGGATGCCCACAAGGTGGAGCCCTTTCTCCTCTACTGTGGAACCTAGTGGCAGACGAACTGCTGAAAACACTAAACAATCAAGGGATGTATGCCTAAGGATATGCCAATGACATAGTCATCCTTATCCGAGGGAAACACCAAACCACAGTCTTTTAACTCATGCAAAGAGCTCTTAGGCTGACAGAAATGTGGTGCGTTAGGGAAAACCTCTTGGTAAACCCTGACAAGGCACAACTCATAACCTTTACTCGAAAAACAAAATTGGAGGTTTTAGAAACTCCGACTCTGTTTGGAGAAAGGCTAAACAAAACGAACCAAGTAAAATATCTGGGTCTAATCCTAGATAGCAAACTTACTTGGAACCAACACTTACAAAAAGTGACCAACAAATAGAAAATGCCTCTTATTGCAGGGAGACGGGCATTTGGAAAAACATGGGGATTAAAACCAAAAATGGCCCACTGGCTATATTTGGCATGATAACTTATGGAGCGATTGTTTGGTCGCCAAAAGTAAACCAGGAAACAGCCCTCAATACCCTCTCAGGAGTACAGAGGCTGGCATGCCTTTGTATTACAGGAGCACTGAGAAGTACACCGACAGCCTCTATGGAAATGATTCTAAACCTCCCACCCCTTGACTTAGTCATAAAGGGGGAGGCCAGAATGAGTGCATAGAGACTGGAAGTCTCCAACAACTAAAACCCACTGGGACATATAAAACATACCAGAATAACACATGAAGTAAATGATTCTATATTAAATATGGGATCAGATCACATGACACCCCTCCTAACCTTTAACAGACTCTTCCAGATCAACTGTAACTGGAACGAGGTACATAAGAAGATAGATAAATACTTGCTTAGCGGCCTCGTATGGTATACGGATGGATCTAAAACTAACAAGGGAACAGGCTCTGGCGTACATGGAGTTAAACCCAAATGCGACATCATCGTCTCACTGGGAAAACATGCCACTGTATTTCAGGCTGAAATACATGCACTCGAATTGTGTGTGCGAGAGAATTTAAGAAGGAAGTACAAAAAATAAACCATCTTAATTCTCTCAGATAGCCAGGCAGCTTTAAAGGCTCTTGATTCAAACAGAATTAAGTCAAAGCTTGTCTGGAACTGCCTTGGAATACTAAATGATCTGGCAACCCACAACAAGGTAAAACTGGCGTGGGTACCAGGGCACAAAGGTATCCAAGGAAATGAAAAGGCTGATGAACTTGCCAAAGAGGGATCAGATCTACCATTCACAGGACATGAACCTGTATTTGGTATAAGCAAAACCTCTGCTCGACAGGCAGTGAACAGGTGGATAACCATAAAACACCAAATTTACTGGCAACAGATAAGAGGGCACAGAATCAGTAAGCTCATGCTAAGGGGACCAAACCCACGCATGGCTACTGAGGCACTACAACTCGCAAGACCTCAAATATCCAACATTGTGGGATTACTAACGGGGCACTGCTTGCGGAAACACCTTCATGTAATGGGATTACACAATGACCCCACTACGTGTAGACTTTGCATGGAAGAGGAAGAAACTTCATACCATGTGATTTTCGAATGCGAAGCTCTTACTGGGCAACGTTTCATTCTTTTCGGCCTAGAACCGGAAAGAACGCCACAGTAACACTTGGTAGGAAACCTATTAAAACTAACCAAAGACACACGACTATTCCAAAGATAGTACCTGAATACGGGGAAAGCAGGGGAATACAATAGACCCAAGAGGCCGCAGTGTTCTGGGCCAAACCTAACCCTGCTTACAACCGATAAAGATAAAGATAAAAAAGATAAACATGCGGTTTTTTTATTAATATAGATATAGATAACAATAATTGAGAATCATTCTGTATATTATTCATTGGTACTAACTTTTCTAATTCTTCGGTAACTATATTAGCAGAATCTTCATCAAGCGTGTCGTAAATATCTCTATTTTGAAGAGTGTGGTTGGATCCATATTTCAAAAATGGCAGCACCCAACTAAAAATTAAAAATATATCTAAAAAAAATATCCTACAAATGACTTTCCTCTAAAATGATCAAATATCAAATTGAGTACGGCCCATCTAATCGAAAAGTGTTTAGAATATATATTAAAGCTGAACATTTTCCGTACACATTTTATTAGAAATATTTTTCATTATAACTTTCTAAAAACACTATCTTTACATGACTATTTAGCACACCGAACATTGGCTTTTTCCGTGCGATCGCAAATATGCACACTAGGATTAATCTTAATTTAAAATCTGACAGATACGTCACATTTTTTTACATAAACTGTCCTACTTTAATTTAATTTATTTTTTTTAATTTTAATTAGTTTTTTAACCTTCCACATTTTTTTGTATTCTTTATTTGTAAGTCTAAAATTTAAGACTTTGATAAATAAAACTTGATTTTTTTTATAAAATGTGAATCGCAGTTACTCATTACATCCCCTTGTATTCCACGCTACGCCAATGGATATAGCTAATGCTCATTTTCGGGTGTCGGAAAATTCACCGAAAACATATTTTACCAAAAATAGTTCATCGAAAAACAATTTGCCGAAAACCGATTCACCGAAAAACAATTTACCGAACAACAATTCACCGAAACAACAATTCACCAAAAATCCATTTTTGCGAGGTATGTTACAATATTTTGGTACGTTTGTAAAAAAACTCTTTTAACAGATATTGGTATAAATTGCCCTTCACACTTCATCAAGGACTAGGACTTGCAGCAAAGGCTGGCGTGTTTAGAAGTTTTTGGTTTTTGTTTTTTATTTTATAATGTTTTTTGCTTTTTATTTTTTTTTGTAAAGTTATTTTTTGTTATTTTCTTGTTTTACTTTGTTTGTATGATTTTTTGGATTTAAAAAAAAATAAAAAAACATTTAAAATATATTTTATCAATATCCTAAATTGTGGGCTATACCGCGTAAGAAATCATTTAAATTTACATTATTGTAGTCTCCAACAAATCTTGATATCCTTTCGGCACAGTCCCTGTATTTCTTGAGGGCATTTCTGCAACATATTGTTTAACTTGGAGTTCGTGTAGACTTTGCTCTTTCCTCCAAATATTAGGGTGTTCACAAATTTGCTGCTCAAATCTTCGATGCCAGCCTTCTATAGTAATGTTAGTTTTGGGCAAGTCTAGACGTACTTCTTCTATACAGTTATACATGCCGTGCGAAGAAAGTGGAGGAAGGCGGCGATTTCTTTGTGGACGTCCAACCCAGGTGTCTTCGAAGTAATCTATTACCGGTTGTGCTCATAGAGGTAAAATGTTTTCGTTACAAAGAATTTCAAATGCACGAACCACATCTGCTATAGGAACAAATGCTGTTGCGTCTAATAACCGCTTTTTCAGAGCAAAATCTGCGTCTGTTTCGTATCTCTGTTTAAGGCCTTCGAATTGAATCTTACAGTTTATGCATTGTGAAAAATGGAAAAAACACCCCGGATGTCTGGACTGAGGGAATTTTTCCATATTAGCGCTTATCATTCCAGTTTAAAAATTAGTCATAATTAATGCTGGTGTAACTCCTGTGAGAAGCTCTTTTATTTTGTGAAATAATCGAATGAAGGTAACTCTGGTTTTATCCGGTATCAAAGCGTAAATTAAAGGAATAGCTACATTACTTTTTAACCCACGTAGTGTATAAAGCTGACAGAACAGGTGCAGTACAGTTTTGAACGTACCATCGTACCAGTGGTCAGCCTGAGCTAGAAGTTGGACATTTTTCCTCGTACAAAACATCAATATCCGATCTTCAGGTCCGAGTTAAACATCAAAATCTCTTCCCCGTTTTTTATTATTTTATATTCTTTGAGCAAAACAGTGTTGCTGCGTCGAATAGGTAATGCTGAGGCAACCTGATCCCTGATTCGTACATTGCGTATTGTTCTTTTTATGTTGCTTACCTTCCCAAGCCTATTTGCTGCTGCCTGGCTGACTGCAAAAGTTGCATTTGATATTATGTAATGTGGTACATCTCGAGTCCTTCTGTCATCGTCACGTATGATGGTCATCTCTTTCATTCTTTCTAGATGCGCAGCATTAGCGAGATGGTTATGTGTTCCACTTCTAAGGGTTGGTCTTTTTACCTTCAGATAAAGTGCCAGGTAATTTTTATCTCCAAAGTAACTTAAAAAGTAATCTTTTCACTTCTGGATAAACCTAACTTCTGAATGATAACTTAACTTAGTTATGAAATTCCTGATAAAATACTTCACTGATGGATAAACAGGTAGCTACATAACCACATAAGATTAAAAACTACTGGATACTTACCATACATATGGTTTATTTGAAAAAATAGAAAATTAATTATCTGACAGATAGTAACTCTCAGATAATATATCCGTCAGTTAGTTATCTGGAACTTTATCTGAAGGTGAAAAGACCGACCCTTTTAGAATAATAAATCAAACTAAATCAGTGCATGTTGATTTTTCTCTTCGACCAAATAAACAAAAACAAATAAGAATAAACAATGACGTTATTCTGCATCACGGTTCAGCCAAATACCTAGGGATGAACCTAGATGTAAAACTTAAATGGAAAGAACACATAAAAAAGCGTAATGAACTTGGAACTAAAATTCAAAAAATGTTTTGGCTCCTAGGAAGAAAATCCAAATTGTCGGTGTACAACAAACTGCTGATTTATAAACAAATTCTAAAACCAATCTGGATTTATGGCATACAGCTATGGGGATGTACCAGCAAAAGTAATATCAACATGATACAAGTTTTTCAAAACAAAGCCCTAAGATGCATCGTTGATGCACCTTGGTTCTATCGAAACGATTATCTTTATAGAGACCTGAAGATACCAACAATCAAAGAAGAAATAAAGAGGTTTGCTGCGAAATATGAGAGTCGACTCCACTCCCACGTCAACGAAGAAGCGCTGCAATTACTGGACAACTCTACACTCAACAGAAGGCTCAAAAGGAAGAAGCCATTTGAGCTAGTACAGTGAACGTTAATGTTAGTGCTAGTATAAAACAGTGTAATAAGTCATCACGCCAACTTGTGATGCTTTTCTATAGAAACTATTAAGACAGCCCAATGGAGACCTCTTAGATAAGTTTATAAGATTTTTAGATTAAAATTCTAGGTTAGTTAATAATCACTAGTAAGAATATAACAAAACAAAAAAAACCATCTTAGAAAAATGAATTTTAGGTGATTTGCTCTTTAGGTGAATTTGTTTTCGGTAAATTGTCTTTCAGTGAATTGTTTTATCGGTAAATTGTTTTTCGGTGAATTGTTTTCAGTAAAATGTTTTCGGTAAACTATTTTCGGCGAAGTTTCCTAGATCCCTCATTTTCTACCTTTGGGACACAAAAAAGGACCTATGTCTTTAAACCTATTCAAAGAAATTGATAAATTCATTGTTTTTTAAAAATATAATACAGCGCCAAAGATCTATGGTTTAAAATTTTCCGACCATCTTTCTCCACTTATTTCTATTCGCTCAGTGCGAAGACATGGTAGGGGAAGCAAAAGCGATACTAGCGCTAGCTGCGGATAATTCGTGCATTTTAGGGTAATATTTTGTAATTTTGGTATATCAAATACACGTATATATTTTACTTTTTTTTTTTAAAGTAGGTAAAAACAATACAATAAGCAACCGGAGCTGCCGTGTATGAAAATTTTAAAAATACTAGCAAAAAAAAACAGTAAAAATTATAAAAATTTTCAGTAGTAAAGTGAAAATTAAATCAAAGAAATAAATGGATAGGTGTACAATAAGAAGAAAAATTACATTTATTTTTGTAATAATAACAATAATACTGGAAATAGTAGACATCAGAAACTTAAAAGGTATTAAATAAACAATAAATTATCATTTTACGATGTTCTTCAACTTCCCTTTATTCTAAAATGTTCAGCAAGGACTAGATTTCAAGATTTCTGCCTTTGATTATTGTATGTGGCTAAATTGCAATTTTGTGACTTACTGATATAGGAAACCAGTTATAATCATTCATTCTATGTTTTCATCCTTCTGTTTTTACGGTTTAACTTCACGCTATTATTTAATGGTATTTTTTTTATTTTGACAGAATAGGTTAATTCTTCAAAGACAACTTATTAGACTTAGGCAACTTCTCATACATTTTCACGTAAATACTGTTGCCTGCCTATATTTTATTATTGATTTTTTTTTATTATACTTAATTTTTTTTAATATAAGCGATAAAAATATATAATAATAATAATAATAATAATAAATTAATGTTTTATTTTTATTAAAACTAACATATATACTTTTTAAATACCAATTCTATTAAAAATTGTATTGTCAGTATACGCATAAATAGTCCATTAGTACCTAAATGAATTGGCACTGCTGTCACGCACGGAGCGAATATATTGCAGTTTTTCCAATAAGAGATTCCATTTCTTTAAGTCCCTTTTATATGTCTCTATTTACTTTTACCCGGCCGTTTTCTCCTTCTATTTACTTCTTTACCCCATTGTTAAGGATCCTTTGGCCCATCTCTAATCTGACATTCTCCCGACATGTCCTAACCAACGCAACGTTACCATTTTATTCTATTTAGCTTATCTCAACTTGCCTATACACCCTTTTCAGTTTCTTTCTACTCTCACTCATCCAAGAATTTTTGTTATTTGTTGTTCCTCGATATTCAGATAATTTTCTAAGTTCCTCTTCATAACCCAACATTCACTTCCATACAATACTGTGGGGTGAATGACTGTTCGATATAATGTTAGTTATGCTGTTTTTCTACACCCGTATTATAATAATGCACTTATATGCCCATAATCCGTTTCATAATGATACCCATTATGATACAGATTTTTCATTATGATACAGATTTTTAATCAATAGAAACCTACAATTTTTCAATCAAGCATGATGTTTGACGTTTGTCCTAAATTCCTATGTAATTGTTTTAGTTGTCAAAACGTATTAAATTTTCGTAGATAGCTAAACTTCGATAATTA